ATAATATAAAATCATCAACGAAACCAATTGGAAATAGTAAGGACGATATCGAACTTCTGAGTATGCCTACCTTCAACGGATGAATGTACTACGTCAGGCAAACATTCTGAGATATCTTGGGTCTTAGCTACACTAGGATGTAAAATATCTTGCGCCTTCTCAACCTTCTCATATGCCTTCTCAGCATATGTCGTCTTTTGCTTAAGATGAGATTATCAGAGTTTAAGTAACAAAATTATCATATACTCAAGATTACAGTGCCCAATGGTTCAGTTGTCTTTCATTATACTACTTTCAATTTGGACTTTTTTTCTTTTCTTTTTTCAGTAGAACAGGGACGAATCCAGCTACTAGGTTTGCGCACCACTCACTTTGTACCATTCAATACTTTCCCTTATTTGTATTTTTGTGATCTTTTTATTGAGTTTGCCCCCCTCCCCTGCACCCCTCCTTAAAGAAAATCCTGGATCGATCCGACCGTTTGGAACTTCTACCGTAGAATTTTTTGATTCCATTCATGCACTCGCAGTAAGGGAAAAATTGCACGATTTTGTGATTCTTAAAGGAAGTGTTGATTTATAATGGAGAAGCAGTGGGAAAAATAAAGCAAGAAAACAAGTCATACAAAACATTCGTAAAACACTGCCTTACCACATTATCTTTGGTACGTTTGGCTTTGTCTTTACTCTTGCGTCGTGTAGMTTGGGTGTTGGCCTTAATGCCTGTCGATCTTTCAATGGATGAATGACTATAAAATAAATACAATGATCAAGCTCTAGTAAAAATCAAGGACGGATGCAGGGGGAGGTTCAACTGTTAAAATCAAGTGCAAATTTATTCAATCAATGACTAYAAMCTATGATTAAGATAAAATCTCAAGATTGACAACATTTATACACTTTGCGTCATGTTTGGTTTGCGAAGCGTGACTATTTAAACCCCTTCGTCAAGCCCTCTTCACTTAAGATGCCCACCTGACGTCCTCTGTACTAGATGTGAATAGTGGAGAACCTGTAAAAAATAACAAGTTGTACGTCAAAAGATCATAAAATTGCTATTTTTTGAATTGTCTTGGCAAAAAAAATGATTTACAAGTTTATAATGAAGTGAAAAAGGCGACACTATAAGTGCGCGCCTATAATCAAAATCATTCACTTAATGGCTTCAATGTGAAATAGCTCGGTGACTTGCTAAACATAAGTAAAACACTGTCGAGGCTTTAGGTGTGAATGAGAACAGTAGCAGTAAATAGGAAACAACTGTCAGCTTACTTGATTTTCTGTTGTAAAACAATAAGTATGCAGAAGTGTGGCACGCAGCTGATGGACTTTCCTAGGAAATAGGAAATWATGTGGTATTATGTATATTGTRGTSATCAGGATTGCAGTTTTAAAAATCAAAGTGCGCAGAGAAGCCACTTCTACATCGTGCTTTGAAGTAGAAAATAATGACTTAAGTAATTAGTATACCTTTGAAACTTTGTAGTCGTCAAATAAATGCCAYTCGGATGTCATTCCATGTCTGGTATATGCCTTATAGTGGCCACTCTCAAAATCTGGTAATAAAACATGCACCATGACGACATTGAAATATACTCGACTGCCTTATGGTACGCCAGAAAAACAATTTTTTAGATAACACTTTCAGGTCGTTTGTTCATTCTAGCAACACGCGTGAGGCGTGCGCGCATGAAAATGACGTATAGTTCCGCGCACTTACTCACCCCCTTCGTGACATACCACACCCACGAGGTCGTACAAATTGTCYCTGGTCCCGGTAAGGTCTCGAGGTGAATTGATACCATGCATAAACTCATTCATATCCAAGTCTTGCAATGGGAACTCTACTGGGGTGTGTATCTTGATATAGCTCTGTCTGTACCTATAATTACATGGACGTCAAGGGGTTACCGTTAATGTGTTGATATAGGTACACTGTATGTTTCATCCGTGAACCCACCTTTTYAAGTGTATRATAAGTGTATCAGGRTAACGACAAAGAGACATYGACTTGGTGGCACTTCGTTCCTGKTTACAATCAGGGCATTCCCATAAGTCTTGTAGTTGTTCCCTATACAGATATAKCAGGATCATAAATAAAGATGTGTATCTGAAAAGAGGGCATGCTGGATAAACTATTGCGACAGTTGTTATTTAAAAATGATTCCGAAATTCATCCGAGACGGGTGGAGAGTTGTCAGCTGAAAAGGGTCACTTGGTTGCTTCCTTGCATACTGCTCCATCTAAAGATAAATGCTTTCTGAGCACGAAGTATTTTGGCGCAGTGTTTAGAAACTTGTTGATTTTTTGCCGATAATGCACTGTCTTCGTGCGCACGCCAGCAACACATTATGAAAACGCATGCGCATTTTCAGAATCGACAAATGCACCCGCACTTTCCCCACGGGATCGATAATCTTACCTATCAACAAAGCTTCGGAGACAATCCTGCAGTTGTAGTTTACACGTGAAATGTTTGACTCTCATCGACTCGTGGTCGCAATAGCGACTCATCTGAAGATATACAAACAAACGTAGGGCAAAAAACTTAAAAATGTGCCGGTCCTCGCGATTTTGACCACGGTATCTATTACTGATAAATATACAGTAAAATGAGCGAAACAGGAAGCGAGATATATAACATTACCTTATCAACTTCAAGTTGTATGATATTAGTGAGTTCAATTGCAATATGGTCGCCATTTTGGAAAACAACTACGTCATTTTCATGGATACAACACCCCATGCAGTCTTCACGTTCATCGCATCTTGAGCATCTTGTACCCTAGATCAAATAATATGCGAAGATACAGTTCAAAACTGACAGTTCAATAAAATGATGTGTCTTCAGTAGCACACGGAATTCCCTTAACTTAAGATTCTGTAATTGATTTTTAACTCGGGAATGGCTAGGAATTTCGGTTATGGAGTCTACTATACTAAGGGTAYGTTYTTAAGGTGTACCTGGTAGTCAACAAGATGCAAGGTGAACGGCARTGATGGCACGCAACGGGTTTTCTTGTCATTATRCGAGACAGGTAGTAACGTGGCCAGGTGATTATAAAGATCATGTCCTGATATTGCACATGGTAATGTTGCCAGGTTTGGATGACCAAATACAGTACTCTCATTCTAAAATATAAACAAAAARAGATAGAGAGATTRCACGATGTCCTTGAAATAAAATGGCAASTGCACAAAGAGGTTACAACACGAGTCAAGCCGTGAGTTTRCGATGCCTAAATTAAAGAATTTGCTATTTATTGACAATCAGTTACTACCATTCAACTGGAACATTTATAAAGAGGTATTGTTCACGTTGTATTCAATTCTGTACAGTGCTTATTGTGACTGACTGGTTGATTGGCTGGTTTGTTGTTTGGCTGTTTGATTGATTGACTGCTTAATGGATCAAATGACTGACATATAGCTGATGAATATGAATGATAGATGATAATGATGATGATGACGATGATGATAATGATAAACTGTAAGCTCAATACCTCATCGGAATCTTTGTTTCTAAACAGGATGGGTACATTGCAGTACCTAAAATGGAAGGTACTGCGGTTAATAAGTTTCTAGCCAGTGTACAGCCGCTTTCTATACATTACTGCACCTTGTCTAATAAGCTGCTAGCCAGTGTACAGCCGCTTTCTATACATTACTGCACCTTGTCTAATAAGCTGCTAGCCAGTGTACAGCCGCTTTCTATACATTACTGCACCTCGGCTAATAAGCTGCAAGTCCATCACAGCATGAATCTGTTTGTCTACTCACCGTATTTTTGACTCGTGGGCGTCATCTACACTAGATGGTCTTAGGCAATCCTGAACATGATACATATCATATAGTCAATAAACAAAATATAAACTTCTCAAAGAATACAGTATTGTGCACTATTTTTCCCAACGTAGCGCTCTGTTGTTAAAAATGTTGATTTGTTTGTTGCAGCTTGTATCAGTTTAACACTCACCGGGCAATCAATACTATCATCAAGGCAGAGTGGGCTAGAAACCTGAAAATCGTGAAATAGGATGGTATCACTTGTAGAGTACATTAGTTAGTGCAGTTCACATTCTTCATTGTGCATGGTCAATATACCTATACATTTGTAATATGTCGAAATTGGTTTACTATGTTTTAACCGAACTTTGAATAACAAAGATTTGGATCTTGATGAGCGATATTGTATGGGCACCAACCCTGAGATGATTTACAACTTTTTGGTTTTGCCTCTATTGTGACAAGTGCTTCGAAATCGATCATTTTTACTATAGAGAGTTTTAGGTTCACGTTTACTGCAAACGCCAAACGTCAAATTGTTTTTTTTATGCTTTGCCTCAAAATTTCAAGCAAAGGCAAAGCGCTTCGAAAGGAATAGTGATGCGCTTATGCACGAAAAAGTGACCTATTTTATACACAATCGCGATAGAACGGAGAATTAATACAGGAAAACAGTCATCACGTGATCAGTTTTGACGTTTCGCGTTCGACGTGAACGCGTATCTAAAACTCTCTAATATCTAAAATCCCAACTATTCTCAAGATCGCACTCCCCCCCCCCTCTTTCCCCCACGTTACCTCACCTCTAGACACTCCCAACAAAAGACCTTTCCACAATCATCATGCTGMAGCAGTTGTTTAGTAGGCCTGGCTTGTAGACATATAGAGCACGTGTATGTCAGGTGATAGCCAATAGGTAACGAAGCACGTGTCTTAGCCCTGYCCTCCTTTGAATGACAAGCATACGATGCTTTGACGCTACTGTTACGTGTGACACTATCTAACGGGGTCAATTTTAGTTTGATATTGCTTTGRAGCCTACGGGCTGTGTCGTGTAGTTCATGAGCTGTTYGGTTCATGTTGGACGTTGTTGTAGTGTTTCTGTCGRCTGGGAAAGGAGGAGTTCCAGTGGGTGGAKAWAGAGGCTCGTACGCGTACAACTTGTTTTCTTTATCATTRAAAGGAGTGACTATTCGATGATCATGCTGAAACAAAGAATAATAATGTCACATAAACACACGATCAGCATTATGACATCTCGCAAGAATGAACAATGGAAGAAATGTAATGAATTGGGGACGCATGTAAAAGAAAGAAGGGAAGAGAAGAAGAGAGCAAAAAGAAGAAGAAGAAGGAAATTAGAAAAAGAGTGAACAAGCAAAAGAAAGTTGTAACTAAGAAACGCGCGCAGATAAAATTACATACCARTAGTCCCACAATAGTCCCTCTGCGTACTACAGCAAGAAATAGATTATCTATGTCAGGTTGTTCATTCAAAGGAAACAGTGACACGAGTCTTTGCTTGATTTGTACTGTAGTGGTTGGCTTAGTTGCCTGCACCCGAACCCTATTGACACAAAACGAATAGAATAGTTAAATAAAACAATGGGAGTTTGAAAACATGAAAACAAAAGTACACTACCTRAGTGCTTTTGGTTTACCATTGTTGACAAATTTGCCATCATTATTGCGGACAACGGTTATAACTGTTCGATAAAATAATAAAAATGCTTTATTAAATGCAAGCGAGTGAAATGCAAACATAAAAATTGATGAAAGTAGCATGGGATAGTTGTAATTATTCCAACGATGAGTGATCATGATGATAATGAATGGTACTTACCAAACGATTGCAATTTCTGACTGACCAGGGGTAGGGAGAGGAAGGAAAACGCCTGATATGTTATTGAAACATGGCTACAGACTGAACATCTGATCTAAAAATATAATTCATGAAAACCTCTATACAAATCCCATGTATGTAATCATATAATCAAAGAKCAAAAAATAACTTTTTTGCTTACTTTGTTTCTAAATTGTCCATGAAATGTGTCCGCAATGACTGACTCGTTTTCGTCGTTGTACAATCTAAGAAAAAAAATGAAAAAAATGGGCCACTTCACGGGAGAATTCMAAAACTTTTAGTCAGGYAAGAAGTTTATCATCTTACTTCCACCACTGGTCAGCGATTYTTGCATTTGACATGGTCTCGTGCCTAATCCTTCTTCTKTGATTGGCTCTCGTAGTGTTCAATTCTTGGTGTAACGCGTCCAGAAACAAGGCTAGGAACTCTTGACAGTCATGCTGTTGAAAACATTTGAAAGATTGTCTTTTCAACTCATTATAGTCTAGTAACTCATTTCGATTTTTTAAGCAGATGCTACCATTATAGCTTACTGAATCTGTATATCAGTACCTGAACAAAGCCATCGAGATGTGGGAACTGCGCTTGTAATGTTGCAAACAGTGCGGAGGGTTCACATGTCAGGTAACATCCACTAAATACTTTGTCTATCAGTTGCCCAAGAAGYTCACAAAGGCTGATGTTCTAATGAAGCAATACGTCATTCAAATGATACTCATTCTAAACGCACCCGCATGTACCAAAAACGCAAATGTCGATCAACAAAMCTACCGCTAACAAATTTACAAAAACCATTCAACAAAAATGCCCATGGCATCCCAAACCGAAAACTTCTCTCAACATCGCATAAAACTACTAAAGAAGAACAAGCCTTGACCAAACCAAACTATTGTCATCCGAGCTATACAAAGCTATTCATTGACGACTATTTTACCTGTTCTTCCATAAATTTTAACCTCAAGATGTTTTTGTGTCCGCCCTCTGTCAACGTAATAGAAATATAATGTCAAACCAACAGTCATGGCTGCCTAACAAAGCCTGTCCACAGACATGTGACTGAATAAAAACTTTTAAGTTTACAATTAAAATTGTATATTAATATATGTACCTAAAAAGAACCGATAAAATGGTTTGATCACAAAGAGGCACTGTAAGCCGGCGTTCATAAAGCAGGAGTTGCCAAGATTCTCTAATCCACACACACCAGGAGCCGGGTTTCTATARTCTTCTGAATCTRCCATGAATAGACAAATAAACAAGTCTTGTTGTATAGAAGTAAATGATTAAATAATGACAGAAAGGGAGTTGGACGAATGGATGGATGAAAGATATTACACTGTGATAAAAATTYGGAGCCKTTCTTGTCTATACGCACCTGAGTAAGMCATRTTTTTGTTGCTTTTCAAGGGATATGAATGACCTATCTTCAGCCTCTTTGCTAGGTCTTTGATCCGTTTTCCAACTATCCCACCAGGTAAACCCGAGGGACCAGTATCTATTAGCTTTATATGAGAGTCCGTTTTCGTTAGCTGGAAATTGAATAGGAATTAAAGCATTGGGGTTTCTTTTTAGGATACCATATTTTTGGCGTTCATTTGTTGCACTATATGTACTCAACAAATAATTTACAATTACCATTATATCACGAAGCTTCTTGTTAAGTGTCTTCGTGTTTCCTTGTGCCATTTCTAGGAAATGAAACTGTTATCATTTTAAAGAAGACGATTTATCACTACATTTTGGTTCCTCTACCAGCTGACAGTCAAGATGGTCAAGAAGTGAACCTCTTCTCGATAAAAAAGCATAAGATTAACGCAAGCAACCCGAAACAATCCTGAAGCATGTATACACAAAATGCATTATGAATGTGCGCAATTTCTTGTAATCTCCATGCTGAGTTCATCGATCTTACATGAAGACTTCTTGAGTAGAGAGTGTATATCAAATTTAGTTACGTACCTCGTTTTAAATCCTCCTGCTTTTTGAAATCGTCTCGCACAAAATGAACATCATCACTAGAAGATCTAGAGTTCAGTACTAATGGACTAACAACCTTGGGTGCGTGCCTACCATACCTGTCCCCTTCCTCTGAAMGTAAGGCATTATTTCTTTTTTTGAAGCCCTTTGGATGTGATCTTGTGAGGTCCTTTGCTTTATGTGTTGGTGATTCCTTCCTTTCTTTATTGTCTGCATGAGTAGTTTGCCATTCATCTTCGAGATGTAGTTTTGGTATGGTTAACTCCATCTTCAAAGAACAGCCATCAGTATCAGCGGACTCCTTTAATAAGGACAAACGAGTTGTTAGCAGTGAAGATGATACCATCGATCAGTATTGACAAAAATTAGGTCGCTATTACAATGCTTTACCTCAGAGTAATATTGCCTACAGTTGGAATCCATGTCAATTGATTGAAAATCTTCAGCAAASCCATTATATTCAGCGAGACCATGMCTATSGAGGCCAGCACTTATGAATTCACCATTGTTTCCCGAACATTCCTCTTGTGTAGTTTTTACTGGATAATGTTCCGTTCTGGAGCGATCATGCTCAATATGATTCGATTTTCCAGTTCTTACTATTGGACCTTTTATAGAGTGGAAATAAGGTTTCGCAGTGAACAGTTTGATCATGTCACTTGGAGAATAACGTTTGTCAGTAGTGTCGTCGATCGTGTCAGAACTCATCTTGACTTCGCCTTCCTCCAATTCAGAGCTCGAATCTTCATCACGCAGAATTCGCCTGAGTTCTTCGACTAAGCTATCATCAGCAGATACTTCTCCTTCAGATGTCGACTCTTTAATGGAGTCTTGTTTCTCGTTAGAGTCGTTTGAACTGCTAGGAATAAGACAATCAGRCTCAAYTTCTATYCCATTCTCCTTGGGCGTGGTCCTTASGATGGTTCTTGTGCGTTTCTCGTGGTTTGAGAGGTCAGTTTTTGCTCTTGAGCTGATTTGATCTAAACTGGAAACGATACAATGCATAACACAGTATAACACAGTAGTATAACACAGCTAGAATACAAAACAGGACTCACAATACAGATCCGAAAGAATGGGAACTATTGCCATCTGTTGCTCTTGTCACTCATGATCCGCTCTCATCGTATGGCCCAGTCGAATTAAAGTGGAGCTGGCACTTTAAAGAGTTTGTAAATACTATACTTACTCTTTTCTGATACGATCMGTAGTTGTAATTGATCGAGTTCTCTTCAGTTTTTCAAGCTGAGCCTATGGAATGGGAGAAAACAAGYTATAAACCATCACTGTACCATCCATCAAATTGCGAGAGGGACTTGACGGAAACAGTTTGGACACTGAAAGATTTAATTTTYAGAAGTACGGCAAAAGCTTTGATCCTAGATTGCATTCATTGAAACATTTGATAGGGAATTAAATGAATTGCCTTATTTAGTTTGCACAGTTTTTCACGGATATTTTAATGCATAAGTTCAAAACAATGAATTTTACGCATATATTGCAATAGAAACTTGAAAATCGTATGTCTATYAAAATATGTTCGATAACTTACCCAGACATAGCATGCCGAAATGTATCCAACATGAATGCTGCCATGCAGCCACAAACTGCATTCCCACTCACCTCTAGATCATATTTGTCCTTTTTTAACGCACTYACAATTTTCCATGCATCTGAAACCAATCTTTCCTAWAAGTGAAGATAATATTGCGTTTACCACACTTTCTGAATGCTTCAAAACTTGAAAAATAAAGAAATWAACAGTCGCTACCTTTTCTTGAGCTTGAAGTTCTGCCGATCTTCGGTTTTCTCTTTCGGTCAGTGCTTCTTTTTGAAACTTGGCCACCAAAGAGCTCGTCTGTTTTAATGTATTTAGCTCATCTTCGTTAAGGAACTCGTGTTCTTCCATGCAGTTTTTATTTTTTTCTAAAGCGTGGACCAGCTCTATGGTTAAATATAAACGATTCAGTGACAAAGAAAAGGTGAGCGAAGATCATCACTACTCGATTTTTATCATATTAAAACGAACTATGAACTCTTCAGAGGGACCTAATACAATATCACAAACGACGAAAAGGYAAATAATGACTAATAAATAAGCTACATTTTATGACAGATGTCGATTTTTAAGTTTAAATGTCCAGTGTTTTGAATATYACTCACCTTTGAAGGCGTTGAACGTTGTTGTCGTTGTCATTTTGTSAAACACGGCTTGGTATTATTTACGTTTTCCTTTCTTCTATTTGTAATTTTTAGTTTTGAATGGCCTTTTCGCAGAAAAGTAGAATAAAATCCCARAGATTGCTGAATAGTTCATTAAATTAATAACAGTTGAAATGCTTACAACGAGAGAATTTTGAAAATTCGCGCCATTTCGGTTTAGAAGAGACGCGCGCGCGTTCGCAGACACAGGTAGACCGTGAGATTGACCGTCCAAGGGACAGGTAGCCCAAAAATCATATATACAAGCAACAACAAATTACAACAAAAAGAAATTGCGCCTTTTTAATGATATATTTTATAAATATAGTTGGTAGTTTATTGAAAACGTTTTGAAGCCTAAGAAAGACGAAGAAGTTCAAGATTTAAATTTATAAAAAAATGTATGAGAATTAATTAAATGCAAGGAAAACTGAATGAGAGAATATTTCTATGCTTTTCACAAAAGCTTAGCACGCTCTTGGTGCCGAATGTATAATATTTAGAAATATCAACTTCTTTGACAACTCGGCGAACATKTTGACTTAACAGCTGGTGCTCCTTTGTCTAGGAAAACGCACAAGAAAGGCGAACACAGCAGCGATAATTAAGGTGTGTGTTTATAATATTTTGGATCTCAGTTTAGAAATGATCTCATCGACCTGACCAGAACTAATCCGACTAAAGACAATCTATTCTGTGTAGAGATAATTGTTTTCTTGACAATACTATCACTTCTTTCATATAATTTTAAGCAAAAAGCAGACACGAACATCAGTCAAATGGCGTGTTCATGATAATTTGGCCACCAGGAAGTAGAGGATTGAAAAAAATACAACGTGTTTTGGAAACCATTCAAGCGAATGGGTAGCGAAGGACTTCARTTATTGACAAAAATGAAACGCTTGAGTGTAAGGTAAGAATTTCTGCAAATACAAGGAGGTTGAACAAACAAATAATCACTGCTTATTACTAGTACATTCTATTGGTTAAGATTACAAGACTTCGTGGAACCAAATATAAACCGGAAATGTTTTTTGTTTTGTCTTTGCTGGGCCCCGCGAAAAAAAAATTTGTGACTCTTTCACAACAAATTGTCAGTATCTGATTTTAATGAACGGTTGAAAGTTATTAATAATTACATATCAATTCTGCGGACATTTGAACTTTGAATACGCGCCATAATGACAGGCCTTAAAGCATATTTATATTCGTAAAAGTCAGAGAAAKAAATAATATTTTGGGAAAGTTATTAATAGCCCTTATTATGATGTTGAAGTATTTATTGACAAATGTGAAGTACCAGTTTTCCAAAGTTAAGATCTAAACTTCAAAGTTCGATTGTACTAGCATTACTTTCAGTTAAATTTCTTTTTTTTAATATATTACAAGGTTTAGCTGATATTTAGGATATGTTCAAGCTGCGAAAGCAACTTCARTGGTAACGATACCGATCGCTCATCTGAAAATTACGGTGATCCCCGATTCTGGTAGTCATTGTCTTTATTATTTTACTTTCAAATCCATCCTTAATTTTACTTTTGATATCACCCGTAGTCAACACGTTACCAAGATCATGCGGCCCATCCCACTGAGCCTGCAGCATCGAAAATGGAAAACCACGATGGCTTTCAGCCAATCAGCTCATAAGAAAAATAAAACATTTTCGAAATGAAGTTAGAAAAAAAGAAAAGAAAAACAACCAAACAAACACAGTGTCAATTATTATAGCTAAATCAAATTGATGATTTTTGCATTTATCAAGTAATATGATACTCTGATTATGCAACGTCATGCACCCAAATTTTAAATGCGTGACCAATGACAGCGTGACGCGAATTTGTGCACGCAATTCAAGCGAAAACTGATACTAGTATTCATATGATGTTTGCTACCATAGGTCGATGTCGAGTTTTAACTTCTTAGTCTAGTTCGTGACACTAGCCCTGCACACAAGCCGTGATAAGTCTTCGTTGATTTAATTCGTCCTCAAGATTCAACACCATTCTGGCTTCAGAACCACTTTGGGGTAAGTTGAAGACCTGCGCAGTTTGTCACTGCATTCAATTCCCGTTTGGGGGAAAATTGTGAGCATAAAGAAAGAATCAAATTGACAGTTAACTTTCTAGCTACTTACAGTAAAAATTTCAAAATCACCGAATCAAATTAACACATCATTATGATTTCTTGAAATCTTTTATGCCACAGTGTATTCAGAGCCTATTCAATAGCATGAATTCAACTTTGAGGTCATATTTTTCTAGACAACTGAAGATATTTGATGATAAACAACGCACGAGTTTCCTCTGCGGCTGAAGCTCGACCGCAAACGGAAATTCCTTAAAAAAGAATATAAATATTTTCTTTGTGATGCTAGTGCATGTTAGAATAACCTTAGATACTTCGACTAACGCAGCGTGCACAACATTTGGAGCTCCGAGTTGGAGGACAGATATATTCGAAGTGAAAACTCTCCCTGTCTTTCGCGTGTCAACAGCCACAGTGCACATGACCACGCCCTTCAATTATGTCAAAGCCATTTTCTACTAGCCTTTGATTCAAGCTGGGCGTAAGATGAGACTATTACAGTGGGGTACACAGCTGTATCGTTAACTCTCGACCCTAAATAGAATAATTTTAAGAAGTGAATTCATGCATTTATCTGTTCATTCATAAATTTATTAAACCTCATTTCTTGATCAGACATTCCTTTTTCTTCCATCTATTTATTTAATCATTCGTTCATTTATTCATTTTTTCTTCATTCTTTGTAGAAAGTAGAAATTATAGAATAGAAAGGCCTTGGAACATCTATGTATTCTTGGCAACTAAACCCTAAGATCACCCCTCCCTGGATAATGAAATTACTAGTTGTTCTATCCTTCTGTTTGGCTACAACCTCTGCCAGACGCGACATTCTCCCAGTTAAATTCGTCCACCATAACAACACCGAAATGGACGCCATCTTAGACACTCTAGCGGCTAGATTTCCAAACATCACACGACTCTACACTATTGGAAAATCGTATCAGGGTAAAAAGTTGCGCGTTTTGGAAATCACTCAAAATCCCGGCGAGCATATACCAGGGAAGCCCGAGTTTAAGTACATTGCCAATATGCACGGTAACGAAGTTGTTGGTCGGGAATTGTTACTTCTGCTAGCAGAGCATTTGTGTGAAGGTTATGGACGTCTTCCAGGAATAACACAGCTTATAAACTCGACAAGAATTCATTTATTACCAAGTATGAATCCAGACGGCTGGGATAGTGCGACTGAAGGAGATTGCACAAGTGTTATTGGCAGATTCAACGCTAATGGGGTCGATTTGAACCGTAATTTCCCGGATGTTTATGACAAAAGGAGGAACTCAATTCAGCCGGAAGTCAGGGCAGTCATGAATTGGATCAAAAGGGAACCTTTTGTATTGTCTGCTAATCTTCATGGCGGGACGCTGGTCGCCAATTACCCTTATGATAATATTCCATCAGAATTGAAGCGGTCAACAGGTTAGACTTTTTGTTCAGTGCATTAAAATCATCGTTATCATAGTCATTACTAATGTTTTTAAAGTCATTAGAAAAGTCACGAATTTTATTATTGCTACAGTGCGGGTTTACTACGGATCTCCTGACGATGACGTGTTTGTCAAAATCTCCAAGACGTACTCTTACGCACACCCCACTATGTACAAAGGAAAACCTAAGTGCTCCATATATAGGAAAGAACACTTTAATGACGGAATCACTAATGGTGCTGCATGGTATCCAATCTCTGGCGGGATGCAGGACTACAATTATTACTTCACGTAAGAATTCTTTATCAGAAGTCATCCAGGTTGCGTGTATAAAGCCTGTTTCATACGGCGAGTCTTGCACGTGCCGAATTCAAAATCATGCTAAGTGCTGAAATTTAGACTTTCTGCTATCACAGTACATCAGTACATGTTTAATTCGACGTTGAACCGAGGCTAAGAAAAAACTCTATCATTCATGGTACACAACCTACCTCCCCCCCCCCCCCCCCCCCCCCCCCCCCCCCTCAACGCCCCCTCCCTCGAGACCAACCCATCCTCATATACACATAACCACTTCTAAAACGTATGTCATTTCATCGTTCATCTGTTCTCCAGGAATTGCTTCGAAATAACCCTAGAACTTGGCTGCTGCAAATTCCCTCCAGCACACTACCTAAAGGACTACTGGTTCGCAAATCGTAAGGCCCTTCTCAACTACATAAATTTAGTGCATACCACAGGAATAAGGGGCTTCGTCAAAGATGAAAATGGTAATCCAATTGAGGGCGTTAGGATTATTGTTGGAGACAGAACAAAGAAAATCGAAACATTTAAAGATGGTGACTTTTGGAGACTACTCGTACCTGGAAAATATCTCATTAAAGGGCGGAAACGAGGCTACAAGAAAGTTAAACGAGTTGTCCAGGTAATGAATGGTACGAGTACAGTAGTTAACTTCACAATGATAGCAAAGAATAAAAAGCCCGTAGCGTTGGACTCTGTCGTAGATAAGTCAGAGAGCAAGGTGGCTTTATATGAATCTGAAGACAAAGCAACTAAACTCAGACTGTCGGTCGACTCGGAGGGACGAAGAAACAGTGCGCAGTTCAAGGTCTGTGCTCTTTGCCTCCTTATTTGGTCTGTGTGGCCATTTTAGGTCATTTGTCTATATTGTACATGTTAATGTACAGATTGTAGAAAAAATATCACATTGTACAGTTTTTACTTTGCATAAAACACTCCTGAAATCTGCTGGTCAGCTCATACAAATTCGTTTATTTTCATCTTTTGTAATTAATTTTTGTGACAATCCTCTTCAACGCGAGTCCCTCGCGAGTTCCCTCGCGAAAGATTTCAGTTAATGACTAACACGGGATCTATGAATTCCCTGTATATTTCTTTTTTTACGTAATGTAAATATAAATCATAGTTTTTGGTTACAACAAACAAAATGAACGCTCTTAGGTCTTACTAATGCGCAGTATATACTCCCAACTGTAAATTCTATAACCTCATATTATATATATATCTACATATACGAAATGTATACGAAATAAAGTTAATTTTACTCGTGATGGACAGTGGATGTGTTTCTTTTACAGACTGTGCAAAGTAGGAAGGTGGAAAAGGCGTAAATACATTCTCGTACCCAGACCCTCCTTAGGAAGCTGAGAGTATCTGGGTACGAGAATGGTAGGAATAGCCATATCGCATGATAAAATATGCTTCCGTAAAATGTACAACAAGAAGCGAAAGATGAGTCACTTAAATGTTTCGATAAATTAATACACTGTCTGATTGTCTAGAATATTATTTCTTTTTTCTTCGTCCTCGATTTTTTTTCGCTTCGTTGGGGTTGCGCTTATTCCAGTAATTACCATCTACATGAAATCCAAGATGAACAGCTCGGCTATTTACGTCATGACTCATAAACGGGGAGGACCGCGCCACGAAATCAGGGTCCATGACGTCAACTTTGTCTCTTTTTGGAGGGAGGCGACGCTGACCACGTGGCTGATCTTCAACGAGGACTGGATTTTCGCCACTTCGACCTCCTTGTGGGAGAGGAAGTGGGTACTAGACAGAGATAAAATTTGAAAGAATACATGAAAATGGGAAAACAAATAAAAGGTAAATGGATAAAAAGTACCGCGTTTTTCTACTGAGCCCATACCTTTTTTCCTCGGATATTGAAAGGTCTYTTTCTGCTAGTAACATTATATCTTGTGACACCATTTTCATCAATTGATATAGAAACACGAGAAAGTGTCTTGTTACCGCACCAGGGACAGAAACCTTTCTCCATCTGATGAGTAACCCTGGCAACACAACAGGTAAATCATTATGATAATGATGTATGGTTGGTATATTTTTCACTCATAAAACTGTGTGACTTACCTAAAACAGGCATAACACTTCAAAGCATAACTTTTCGCTTCACGTATAAGCATTCCATCAACAGATACAACATGAAGTCCCATTTGAATCAACACATTCTGAAATAATATAGAAAAGTTATACATCAGAACCCAGGCACCGCAGAGCCGGTTTGGCCGCCATTTTGAAAACGTCTAATTCATCTGGCGGCTCTCAAAAGATGTCCCGTCCCGATTTAGATCCCCCAATAAAAATTATGCTCAGTGGTGCCTGGAACCCAGAGATCAGTCTTTTAAGTTTCAAACATGGTCACCAAGCTCTCAGCCAAACTTTAGTATCAAAGCAAGACAGTGATTGATACCTGTCAATAATTACTAGTGTTTTAGATGTAAATAAAAGGCATCTATCACTTTAGTCTTCTCTGTTCTACTTTTGTACAAAGGCTTGGACACCTTTGAAGATGGCACTGACAACTTTAAAATCTATGGAGTATTGAAAAGTATGGCATGTTCTCCGTCATCACAAGAATTGAATATTGATCATTTAACATTATTTATCATTTACATGTACTATTATACTGTTATTGACATCTGGTAATCATCCAAATCATAGTGCAATATCACCCATTAAGCTGCCATATAGTGATATAATTCAAACAAGAGAAGATATAATCTCACACATCAGAAGCTGCTACTCTCCACCATACAGCTAGAGTCTTACACCACAGAGATCACTTTATGTTAAAAAAGGGAAAAAAAAGCTGGATTCCTTGTTGAGTCTTGTGCAGCTTCACTTTATTTATCATTACCTGCATTGCAAAATCAGTTGTCAAACAGCCAACTTCTACATCTGCTGGAACTGCATCCAGTCCAAGATCACCCATTTCATCTCTTATTGCTTGTATGTTTTGAGGGGTGATCCAACCATCTTCATCTTCCTCTACAAATCCCTCGTCATCACCAGGATCATCTGTTCTATTGTCGATTTCTTGAACATCCATTTGTTCTGCATCACCAATTGCTTGTAGCTGAGTTGGTTCTTGAACTCTTGAACTACTGCATGAAGACAAAAATAAAACAATTTTATGTCCTCAGAAAATAATAGATGAATACATTATAAATTCAGAAAAAAAAATAAGTGAAGACTTTCTGAAAGAAACAAAACAAGCAAAAAAGAAAAATAAGATAAAGAGGATGATTGATTGATTGATTGATTGATTGATTGAATGATTGATTGATTGATTGGTGGGTTGGTTGTTTGGTTGGTGGGTTGGTGGGTTGATGGGTTGGTTGGTTGGTTGGTTGGTTGGTGTGTTGGTGGGTTGGTTGGTGATTTGGTTGGTGTGTTAGTGTGTTGGTTGGTTGTTTTTTTGGTGGATTGGTTGGTGGGTGGGTTGGTTGGTGGGTTGGTGGGTTGGTTGGTTGGTGGTTTGGTTGGCTGGTGGATTGGTTGGTTGCTTGGTTGCTTGGTTGGTTGCTTGGTGGGTTGGTTGGTTGGTGTGTTGATGGGTTGTTTGGTTGGTGTGTTGATGGGTTGCTTGGTTGGTTGGTTGTTTGATTGGTGGGTTGGTTGGTGGGTGGGTGGGTTGGATGGTGTGTTGTTGGTGGGTTGGTTGGTAGGTGGGTTGGTTGGTGGTTTGGTTGGTAGGTTGGTTTGTAAACTTACTTTTGTAAACTGCTACTGGACGCCATGGCATGTGTATATTCTGATATGCTACATCCTGGTAGGTCTGATATCTCATCTATTTCCTCTTCTAGTGTCTTACCACTGTCATCACCAACTGGATCTTCATCAGTATTACAATCTTCAGTACTGGCTCGTGCCTCTGACATTTCTTCATCATTTTGAGCAGCAGTTGTATCTGTTTGAGCCTGAGATTTGAGCACAATGGATTGAGTGGATTAGTGAATGAGTCTAAGAATGAATAAATGGATAGAAAATTGAATAAATGAATGGGAAAATGAATAATATTATAAATAAATGCTTGGATAACTTGTTGAACTTGTTCAATTTTAGGAATGGATGATTGGACATGATATGGCTATTTCAAAAAACAGCTGCTTGAAAGAACGGAAATCGCTATCCATGATTATTTAAAAATGAAAATGGAGGGATGGATGGATGAAGGAATGAAAAAAGGAAGGATTATTTCAATCATCAATACTTTTCTCATCGACATGCAGCACCAGTTGAAATCCATACCTTTTCAACATAAAACCCAGGAATCTTGTTCATGGTTTTGCCTTTTGAAAACTTGACCTGTGTGAAGTTTTCAAATTAAACATGGTTATATTTCGGTCAATCTTACATTTTTTTCATTTACATTTTTTTACTATATTTTGGTCAACTACTATAATCCAAGGACCTCATATGTTACTTGGTTGGCCATTTATCAACATTTTATTCCTCATACATACCACATTTGCTGGCTTTGTTTTTAAATGATCTGTACCACAAAACTCTTTCTCTAGCTGATACGTTAATGCCAACACTCTCAAATCCACAGCAGAGAGAACTTTAAAATCCCCAGTCAGCTTGGAAAAATCTGTTACTGATATATACAGAAAAAAATTATTAGCTTAATATCAGTGTCCCAAAACTGTGAAAATTGTCACTTTGGTGCAGTGGCATTGCTGTGCCACAGTATTGGTTCTTATATACTGCTAATACCAGACCAGGCTCCGTATGTTGACCGACATATGAAACTGCTTTCCTTTCTCAAACTATTACAAAATCTTAAAAATCTTTTATCAGTTGTTTCACTTCAATTTCTTGATTCTCCCCCACAGTTTACTTTCAAATCTCCTACCTAATTCAACCATGGCCACAGTAAGTTGGTAAACATGGATTGAATTTATAATTTATTGCGCAACATTAAAAAAAAAACACAAATACAGCTTTCGTATCAAAATCATGTTTATATGCATTCCTTAAAAAACGGTATTTTATGTAGGACTGAAAACGTGCGAAGAAGAATTAGATAAATGAAATCAGACAAAAAGTTAAAAACATTGGCAGCACCACGAGGTTTAAGTTCTTAATTAAAGTTAATATTTTCCATTCACCTCGAGACACCAAATCCCCAGCATAAAACATTTTCTCATAAAATCGACAATTAATCAAAGCTCCATTATGATTTACAGCACAATTTTAATCTTTATATGGCATTTAACATAGCTATGACGTCGTTTTAATGTCTTACCAGCCTTTATGGCCTCAGTCGAGGGTTGCTTGAATGTGATTTCATACGGTAAAACAGCCAATCTTTGCCGTGTAGTGATGTCTTTTATCTCCTGGACTACTTCTTGAAGGGTATAGATACGCTTTCCCAATGACTGAAGCTCAATATTTTTTATAAAACCAGCGGAATCAACAACAAGATGCTTTACATCACCTTTCGAGTTGGTCGCCATCTTGAAAATTGAGTAATAACACAGGGAACCCGCGAAAATAAAAYAACTGCTGATATACTCATTCAGCCAATGTTTACGATGTTTTCACACGTCGTAGGGTCTGAATGATCAAATAACATTTGATAGCGGCTTTATTCTGCTTGTCAACAAAATACAATTCAATCGTTTTGGAAATATTTGTTTTCTTTGATGAAAGAGCCTGAGAGACGCACAAAACAACGGATATCCTATTAAAAAATCCGTGTAAGTGCTCTTAGAGCGTCTGGTTTGGGAAAAAGGGAAATGAAGGGAGTTGAAGGATAAACATATACATCTTCTCTTCTGCATGATATCAACTGATATTTACTATAAGAACAAACACAATGGTAATAACAAATACTCGTTTTGAGAAAAAAAAACCTTTATTTTTGACAGCTTCATAAATACTCTGCAAGCAGAATCTTCTTTTGGTAGTGTATAAATTATATATTTCATCATTCTGTATTTCTATATTCGTCCTAGAATATCCTTTTAGGGCATCATATCAAAAGTTTGCCCATTTACGATGCTTCAATCCAAGGAATGAGGACTGTGCTTGAAGCTCAAGGCTAGCCAAGTCGCGCACAGAAGGAGCCATCTCGGCTGCATGCGTTTCAAAGCTTGACCCTAAAAACAGTAAAAAAAGGTAAATATACATTATTAGGGATCTTTCTTCATAAAAACCGATGATATGACAAACAGATCAGAACGCAGGTAAAACAAAGAGAAGTAGTTTAAACAAAAATTCAAAAAGAAACGAGAGAAAATTTGCTTTCCTTACCTTTGCCTCGCTTTTCCCCATAAACGACTTTGCCATCGAACTCGTTAGCAGTGACTTTAAGGTTTGAGGATACTACAGGTATACTTTCACCAAGATGTTCCTCTACATCGCCAAGATACTGGGAACATAAATAATAACATTTTATTTTATTTATTTATTTATTTTTTTTTTTTTTAAGGTGATGCACTTTCAAAAACCACTGTGGAAAAGTTATGATTTGGAAATATGTAAAACAAAGCAAACAATTAAGCTTATAAAAGAGCTAGAAAACTTAGAAAAAGTATTTTGTCTTTAGAAGATAATAGTCCACTYGCGACTCATGGTAATGAAGCGTCAGAGAGCAGAACCCCTTTGTTTTGTCAACCGCTTCATCTTTTTATCTACTGATGTTATATGTTGATGTTTCAAAATTGAAGAAAGCTTTTGTTACATTCTTCATTACAGTGTTGCATAGACTTATTCTCTATTTCTGTATTCTTACCTGTATTTCATCGTACCATATAGCACAGCCTCCTTGTTCTTTTAGTCTAGTATTAAAGCAGCCTTTGCCACGGCTAGAGCAAACGTGGTACCATACCTACACAAACAAAAGAACAACACATGAACAAAACTATTCACTTGCAGAGAGAGTTAAAGGAAGCAAAGAATGGGGGGAAGAAAAGACGTTTGTTACTAAAGTAGAGAAACACGAAAGTAAAGGAAGAGAGGGAGGCAGGGAAGGAGGCAGGCAAGGAGGAAGGGACAAAGGAAGGGAGGACTTAAGGAAGGAAGGAGGGATTAATGGTAAACGTCTTTCTTCAGATGGATATTTAATGCTAGTTCTTTACCTTTTCTTTTACGTCGGAAATCAAAGAAATAGCTAACCCCATTCTGTATTGAAAAGAAAAAAAAAATGAACGCGTATATCACAATAATAAAACAGAAATTCACAGAACTGATGAGTTACCGTTCAGCCCTGCCTACTCGACCAATCCTATGGACATAATTCTGTTTATCATCAGGGAATGTTACATTGATTACTACAAGAGTAAATAATCAAAACATTAACATTGTTATATACTACATATAACCCTTTCTGATAGTAATAACTTACCATATGGTACTCCTTTAATATCAATTCCTCTTGCAGCAACATCAGTACAAATCAAAAACCTCACTTCGTTGTCCTAAAAGACAAAATGACATCAAAATGCTTCAATTTTCATGATCAAAGCTGTCAAAATCACAACAGAATCAAAACAGTAAAATGTATGTAAATTCAGGTGACCCACCTTGAACTTTTGCAAATTCGCCTTTCGTTCTTGAGGTGATCTATCACCGTGAAGAACTACACAAGAATACTGATTGACCATGGCACGGGCTCCTGATATGACACAACAAGAATGTACAATTATAATACACACCTTGGACAATATCCAATTAAAAAGATTTAATTTACTGTCCAAACAAACTATGAGCTACTCTAATTTACACCCCTCCCTCCCACCCCTCCCTCCTGAAAAGTGAACTTTGCAAGGCTCACCTCCACCGTAAGAAAGAAGGTATTGTTCAGTGTTATCACAGTCTATCTTTGTTCGACAAAAGATGATAGCAGTATCCATTTTATGCTCATCAATGGCTCTCTTGAGGTATTCAGCTTTGAGCATCTTGACAGCTTCAGAAAGGGCCTCTGATGAAAATAACAATTAATAATTTATAATAATAATGATGATGATTTAACGACATCATTTAGAATGCTTTGGTTTTCACACATTCATAATCTCTGTATGTGAAATGTTGGTGTGCATTTCTTAAAATGTATCTTAGATGTATTGATGATTATCTAGCCCATCTCTCCTAAAGTTGGATTTTAAATGATTATCAATGTATTCGAAGCATTCCCCTTGACAATGTTTGTGTAATACCTGGTGTCTGTCCTGTTATCTTATCCTTCTTGTGAATTCCATCAGTCTTTGCGATGAAAATGAAATGAAAAAAAGATGAAATTGAACTGTTGAAAGTAAGGAAAAACAGAAAAAAGAGAAATACACTGCTTACTCGTACTGGATTCTTGAGATTTTTCCATGTCATGTCAGAGCGAGGATCAATATGGCAGACCTTCAATGAAACAATTGTAATTGATTAAAATTAATTATGATCTCGACTCCACATTTCAACATAAGAAGCCCCCATGTACATAAACAAGAGAATGATGGTGATAGTGGTGAAAATGACGACAACGACAACGTACCACATGATGGACCGTCTCAGGGACGCTGTCCTGTCCTTTCAAGTCAACCCATGTAGGGAAATGCATGATACGATCCTATGATAAGAAAACAATCATGAATCTTGCAACACAATTATCGTCGCTATTTTGCATGATAGTCTCCTTACAGTTCCCTGCGCCATGTTGAATGACAGCCTTGCATTTACACTGAAGAGAGATGACAGTTGATCGTACATGTAGAATGATAGAAAACAAAAGACAATCATTCAAACATTTCACTCTCAACAGTCCTCTCGCTTGTATGGAAAAGAACAGCTACTTTTCAAGATAGTGCAGTGAACTGCGAAGGACACTACTGACTACAAATTCTTGAGGATTATCCTCCATTGTTTGACAGTTTGACAGACAACTTTGTTTTTGTCTTGTACTGAGTACACAGTCACTTAAACATCTAGCATACTAAGGGTATATCTAATAGGTATTATTGAGGTTATACTCACAGCTAACTTCTTGACATCAAATGAATGCAGAGTAGCTGAACATGTGATGATCTACAAAATAACAAGAGTACAATATATCACTTTAATTTGGATATTATAAAGTTATTGTTAAAAAAATTGAAGATTTGAATACCTGTAATCGTTTGCCTGTTGGTCCTGTCTTTGGTATCTTGCTGTAGATTTTCATAATTAGATCATTGTTCCCTTGGGCAAGTAAACCATCCTTTAAAAAAAATAAAAAAGCTATAAAAAACCTAGTGCTTAACAACATTTGATGTCCAAGTCATTCTAGTTGAGACTACATGTATAAACCTAAGAATTATCAGACTGCTAACTCTCTTTACACATGAACTTACCGCTTCATCCAGAATGAAGAAGTTAACCTATCATAACAAAATTAAAAACCAAATCATTTYGGTTTGTGTTAGCTGCAAAACCTCATCAAACATAATTGAAATGTAATACAATGTCATACATTATTCAATTACAAGAAAATAGTGAACTAGTGCACAATTGTACAGTATTCTCGAGTACTTTTTTTGATTTTAGGTCTTTATTACCTGATGTAAACTTATCTTGTCTGTTTGTATGAAGTCTCCCAGTTTACCAGGTGTACCAGTGATGATATCAACCTATCAAATGACGAGATGAAAAGTGACTGACCAAAGGACTTGCAAAGTAAAGTTAGAAACAAAAAACAAACAAAACAACAACAAAACAAACACAACAAAAAAACAAACAAAACAAACACAAATTCAAACCACAACATAAGTACTTATTTACCCCATCATTTATGGCTCTGATTTGGTCTTTTGTATTCTCTCCACCAACCAATAACACTGACCTACATATTAAACCACATTATTAATCAAAGTTTTCGAGCATGATATAATGTAAGTGGACAATAACTCCTTGTCAATGATTATATTAAGTTAACAGGAGTACAGGTCTTACTTGATTTTTGGATCAGGAAGCTGTTTTGCAAACAACTGGATTTGATGGTGGGTCTGGAAAAAGGAAGCCAATCGTAAGACAATAATGTGTGAAATAAACTTATTTTATTGAGCCAGCAGTATATATCCTATATACCTGTTGTGCTAATTCTCTTGATGGCTGCAAACAAAAACATACTTATTTATATAAAATTAACAATAGCAATGGCAAATAAACAATTATTTCATACAAATAAACAATTATTTCATACAAATAAACAATTGTTACCGTTTATAATGTACATATTGCAGCATGGCATACAAATATTTATGTATCCCAGGTTGAACATCTTAGCAAGATCTTGTGAGATCATGGAAGATCTTGCAAGATCTTGGAAAAGCCTTGACAAGAACATTTCTTGTCAAAATCTTGGAAAGACCATGCCATAAACTTGCCATGATCTTGATAAGAATTAAGCAAAATCTTTCATCCAGACCTTCTTAAGATCATGGCAAGTACTTACATGAAAAGTTAACAAAGATCTTGGGATCATCTTCCATGATCCTGATGTGATAAAAAACATGATATTACCATGATCTTGCCATGTTTGTGTAAAGCTTGTCCATTATTATCTTGCAATTAATCATGACAAGATCTTCACACGATCTTGGCATAATCTTGGAAATCGTTAATCTTGGAAATGGTTACAGGGGTGATATCTTAGGTGTGTACCTACCGATGGTACAGGGATGATATTTTAGGGGTGTACCTACCGATGCTACAGGGGTGATATCTTAGGGGTGTACCTACCGATGGTACAGGGATGATATCTTAGGGGTGTACGTACTGATGGTACAGGGATGATATCTTAGTGGTGTACCTACCGATGGTGTAGGGATGATATCTTAGTGGTGTACCTACCAATGGTACAGGGATGATATCTTAGTGGTGTACCTACTGATGGTACAGGGATGATATCTTAGGGGTGTACCTACCGATGGTACAGGGATGATATCTTAGAGGTGTACCTACCGATGGTACAGGGATGATATCTTATGGGTGTACCTACCGATGGTACAGTGGTGATATCTTAGGGATGTACCTACCAATGGTGCAGGGATGATATCTTAGGGGTGTACCTACCAATGGTTCAAGGATGATATCTTAGGGATGTAYCTACTGATGGTACATGGATGATATCTTAGTGGTGTACCTAATGATGGTACAGGGGTGATATATAAACTTTAAGGTAAATGTACATGTATGAATGGGTATCTTGCCATGAAACTGGCAGGATCTTGACATGATCTTGTCAGAAGATCCTGTAATAAGCTGTAAGAAATACAAAGATCTTGCATGTGTTTTAGCAAGATCAAGGTAATGATCATGAAAAGATCATGCATGATCTTCCATGAATCCTGCTAAGATGTTCAACCTGGGTGATGAAATGATGGTTTGTACTTGCAGTGAATAAATGTGTAATGAATTACGATTGTGGCAGTGGATTTTAACAATCTAAGCTATTATTAATACATGTAAATGGATCACCCCAAAAAAATTCCGGGGGGGGGGGGGGGGGGGGGGGGTGGGCTTCTGCAATACATGTACAATATGTACATTAAAAAGTAAGTTGACTTATTATCATTTGACTAGCAAACCTCTATGATAATGGCCGAGGGTGCACATTTGTTGGAGAATTTGCCTGGCTTGCTCTGGGCAGCACCTCCTAAACAGAAATACAGAAATATTACATTGATAATAACTAATTATAATATAAAATAATATACTTTTAACACTTGTCCATAGTATAGTGTGACTGTTAATACCTGTTGCAATATTTGACGTTGCTGTTGCATTCTTTGGTGCTTTGGACAAAGCCAAGTACTGTCCCTATTAGAAACCAAGGCAAAGATAATTTATTTAATATTTCATTCAATTTACTAGATACTAGTAGAATAACAGTTGATTTCACAGCATGCAATACCTTTGGTGGATATTTGAACGGTTTGTCACCAAAATTGAAGCTCATTTCTGCATTCTGAAAGATATAACCAACTCTTTAGAATGGTTTGTATGAAAACTGAAGAACTCCTCAGTCTCAAATTCTATGTGGTTTTCAGATAAAGATATGAATGTAAGGACCGCATGGCACTATGAGATACATGATATAAAAATAAAGGAAAGTGTTATAGCAGTTAAGAAGGAGGTTATTCCAGGAGAAAGACCCTTAGAAATGTCAGAAATATATTTGGAAAAATTAATTTCCAAATAATTAATCCCAGCAAGATCATAATATTTCTCCGAATATATATCCAAGGGTCTTTCTCCTGGAATAACCTCCTTCCTAGCACTACTATAACTTTCCTTTATTTCTATATCCTAAAATCCTTGGTTTGAAGACTAGCAGATGTTCAATTCTTGCTTAAATTGTCAAACAATGATTTGCCACCCTATAATGTACGATAACACTGACTGTTTTACCTTTAATACAACAGCAGTAAAGAATGTTTTTCCATCCATTTCATCTGGGATTTCAAATGCAACTCCAAAGTCAACTCCTGCATAACATAAAAATATCTACATTCAGTCTCATGCTGTATCTGTCATTTCATTCTACATTATGTTATATATTGTTATGCTATCCTTCTTTACTTGCGCTATTAATGATGACTCATAATTTTGATAAATTCATGTTGAGGAGGAGTTGTACTGAAGTTGAAAATACATGCATCGAGTTCCTTTTAAATTCATTCAATATTGAAAGGTGTAAGTCATACAAAGTACCATTTTTGCTAAACTTGATGGTGTAGTCATCTTGCAGGTCAATGAAGCATCCAATCACATCGTTTATACCAAATGCCTAATAAAAATTACAAAAATTGTAATAAGTACACAATTGTATAAACGTCACAAAAAGTTGTTGAAATTAGAAAGTTAATACAATATGAACAAAATGACATTTATTTGTCTTCAGAATGATACTGACAATTTACCATTCTTGTTAGTTTTAAAAATGTCAACAAAGGGACCATAATTTATTAAGAAAACTGTGTCATACAATAAACATTTACCTCTCCATATGAATCAAATTGTCTTCCATAGGATTTCTTACCAGTTCCCCCAAAACCAAAGCCATCTCTATCAGTCCCTAGAAAAAAATAAGAGATAAATTGCAGTTATCAATAATTATGCTTTAATAAACTGGTTGATGAAACAATATGAATTTTGTTTTTGGTGCATTGCAATTTACTTCATTATTGTATGAAATCAGAACAGCGAGTAGGCAATAGTTAATTAAAAAGGACATAGTAGGTCAATTTGAATTGCATTGAACATATAATTTATTCTCCAAGCCTTTGGCAAAATATACTGACACACATAATACGTTTTTAAATAATTTGTTACCTAAATCAAAGGTGGCTTGAGAAGTTGACCAACCAACACGGCACAAACCTTCATCAGTGACAGTTGCCTCGTAGTAGTACTTTCCTTCAAAATAACAGCAAAACAAAGTTATCTTTTTAAGAATAGTGTGACAAATTTTATATCTGAAGTAAACACCAAATTCCCTTACATTAAGGACAAACTCTGACGGACAATTACATGTACCAGTAAATGAGGCTTTGCCTTAGTCATAATCAATAGTCAACTTTAGATATTTTGGTTTGATGACTATGTACAAAAGAACGCACACGAGGCTCCGGGGAAACAATGGATAATCTTGATTTATTCTTTTATTTCCCCGGAGCCTCGTCTGCAATTCTTTTGTGCATGGTCACTGAACCAAAATATCTAAAGTCGGCTATTAGCAATCATTGATGATAATCACAAAGACTTGATGTTTAGTTACCTTTTTTGACACCTAATGTTGACCTGCAGCCCTGCCATTTGTACATCTCTCGGCTCTGACATAGTAATCCATCCTGACTAATTGCTAAACACAACGTGCAACACAAATGAATTAAATGCACAGAAAAAAGAAATGAAATCAAGTACAAATTCTGCTTTGATACCAACCGAAGCTTTCATCTCTGTCAAATGGATTCATTTTAAATCCTGTTGAACCTCCATCTCCTAAAGAAATATTATAACCACACTCATCAACATTTCAACTGAAAATCATATCACTGAAAAGGCTATAGCTATATTTCATAATAAGCACAAAAAGATTAGAAAGTGCACTCACCTTGTGGGGAAGCTTTTGGTGTTTTTCCTGCCATGGCATCCCTGACATTCTCATGGACAATTTGAATGATGGGCAAACAGAAAGCCTTAGAGAGAAATGAATTAGAAGACTCAGAAAGGAACAATTTATGGCTCTTGCATTCTAGTCTAAGGAACTCCTCTATTATTGATGAATGTTCTTCTTTAATCTTAAAATTCTATGCATTCAATAGTATTTCATAATTCAATCAATCTATGGAAGTTTTCCCTCAGTAATCATATTCTATCTTAGTTCAATGTCATTTTCAATTCTAAAAAAACATTATAGCAGACTACAACATTGATAATACACTATTTCTCAGCATTCTACTAATTCTAAAAAAATATACTTACTCCTGTTTTTCCACTCCCTGTTTCTGCAGCCTAAGTTTAAATCAGAAATTATCATTAAATCAAAATACTGTATTAACATGTGCTTGGTTGAGGCATTTCAAATGATGTATGTGTAAGTAATGACTAGAAAAATGGCTTACTTTGCTTCCTTTGGTCCTTACAAATCAATTTAATACATTTTCTTTTCAAATAGATCAATATAACAATTCAAAATTACACTTACCATAAGAACATCACCACCTCCCAGAATGAGGGGAATAGCTTCTGCCTGGACGTCAGTGGGCAGGCTATTTACAAAGAAAACATTTTTAGATTAACACCATTAGAACATCATTACAATGATAATAGACCCCATGAAATCACTTTCATCTGGAGGTCAAAAGTTGAACCCCCTACCCCTGTGTAACAGAGAACCAATCACGTCTTTTTTTATGACACATGCATGAGGCCTATTCAGTTGCTTCTCTGTGTACCAGAGATAACAGAAGCACAAACTACATAATCAAATAGAAATAAAAGATCAAAACAATAGAGCAGAGTCTAAACATTACAAAGAAACACTCAAATACAAAGAAACCGTATTATACAATAGATCAATTGAATAGATTGTGGTATACAAGAAACAAGAAGGGCCCTCCATTGCAGTATAAACACTGACGACACTGTACTTACAGCCAATCCATTTCATCAACAGCTTTGCATATCTCAGGCAGTAAGCCAAATTCTGTAGTGGGATATGAAGAAATGTTTCAAGAGAATGAAAGAATCAACGGAGAGTGGGATATGAAAAAATGTTTCAAGAGAATGAAAGAATAAGCTTAGAGAATTCCTCGGATCAAAAACATTAATTTTGTCTAATGGTAAGGAAACTAAAGAGTAATAGCTACATCTTTTTGATTAATTTAAAGAGTGCGAAATACAAAAAATATAAGACTTAGATAGTTTTTGTTTCAAAACTTACCTGAGAAATGACCCGCCATGATGGAAACGGAGAGTGGAATCTATCGGTTAAAAGGTACACAGGAAGCCCAGAATTATACTGATACTTTTACTAGAATTTAAAATGGATAAGATGTAAATGATGACCAGTAATGGTTGGATCTGAATCCAAATCGATTCCTACTTTGATAAGTACTGACTTTGTTGAAGAAAAGCCTAAACTTTTCAATAATTATTGGGCTTAGCATACTGGGCTTCCTGATCCATGGTTTGAGTGAGCAGAGAAGCCCTGGGCACGATATTTAGAATCAACATTTTGTAAAATATTAATCGGTTTTCGCTTGTAAGAGATGATTTAAAAACACATCCTTTCTCAAAGCTCAAAGGTACTTTTCATAACTCGTTTCGTGGAGCTTGGTGTTGCTAATTTGTTTCATGCTTGATATAATGATGATAGTGACAATGATGTTTATATGATCATTCAGTGATCCTGATTCCAGTGTTCAAGAGGCAACTAATCTCTGAAGATGACCTGTCAAGGTAGATTCCAATCAATCAATGCATTTATCAATAAAATAATCATTGATTTATCAAAACCTTTGGATTAAGTATTTAGTTGTGAAATAGATATTACACTTGCTATCAGTGCTCCGACTGGATTATTATTTTTTGCATGTCTATTTCTGCAATTTTTGTTTCACAGGTTTAATGACCTCACTCTAAACAAACATTTACTTAGCGTTTGTACTTAGTTTTCTCACAACTGTATTTAGTTTCAGCACGCATCAGTACCCTCCCCCCTCCCCCTCTCCCCACGGGCGTGTGTAGAGAGGTTGCATCAGTAACCCCCCCCTCCCCCTCTCCCCACGGGCGTGTGTGGAGAGGTTGAGTGACAAGTGACTGTGAGAAGACTAGTTTGTATTACGCTACTCAATAAAATGATTATCACACACCATGTTGTTGATTGTTGTTTTATTTGTACTATCATCAATGCAATGACTGCATAAATATAGCTTTCATATTATAATTCTATTTTACTAATTATTTCTAAAATAATGATTCTTATTGGTTGGTTTGTGAATTAATTGCTACAAAATCTAGGTGTACTAATAGAAAGAAGAAAAATGAATGAGTAATGTACATTGTATTACAAAAGAAGCTGAAACATATTTTTCTATTTGAAGAGTGTGATGTAAGTGATTATATATACATCCCTGCCAACAGATCCGTAGTTCTATTCAACTAGCAGGGAATGTAACGATTTAGGTAATTTTATGAMCATAAATTCTATCTTACAAATTTATTCAAATTGCTTGCATTACACATAAATGCTCATGTAATGCTTTATCAGTTCAATAAATGCATTTTTCATAAATTTGGTAAATATAATYGCCTGTATTCAAATCAATATAGTCTTCAGTGTAAGGTATATTATTTTTTTCAGATCATCARTTGTCAAAAGTTTAGTCGTAATATATATGTCTACTAAAATCTGTTAATTAATGGTTTAATATTCAATATAAAGAATCTCAACTTGATTGAAAATTGTCCTTTAAAGAGATATAACTTGAGGCCACTATGATTTCAATCACTTATTATTATTTAGTGATTTATATAGGCCAGTAACATTTGATTTTGTTCCAACCGCATTGAAAAATAAACAGACTGAGGTGATTTATTATCATATTTAAGTCAATTTAATCCAGTCTTATTCTATGTACAGATATTAATTACTCTGGACTCTGCATTTAATTCAGACTACAAAACTCTATAACGACCAAAAGTTGAAATTTTCTTTCCTTAGAGACAGAGAAATATAGAATTATATATATATAAAAAAGGCAGGACATTGTATGTATCTAACAAAAGAGTCTAGTCTAATTTTCTAAGGAGTTTTTCATTGTTAATATGTCACATTTACATTTTGAATTAAACTATGAACTGTGTGTGCGAATGTATAATTTACTGAAAACTAAGTAATAAGTGAAATTAATGGTTCTGGATGTTTAATATTACCTATAGTACTAGATATGACATTCATTTTTATTAATCTTTGTACAATTTTTTCATTTTGAATTAATGTCTGTTCTTAGAAACTAATCAAGAATTTTCAAGAACAAATATTATTTTTCAGAGAGCTTYATTCAAGCCTCTTGATTTCTATTTAATATTTATCATTTAGCTCCAATTTCTAAAGATAAAATTCATTTTCTCAATGTTTTTTTGGCTATTTTTTTTTTKGGCAGAAAACAATTCATATTTTCTCATTCTCTCATCATTTAAAAGAATAATTTTGTTCCTTTCATTTACAGGAGTAAAATAATATTTCATTTGTCTCCTCTTTGTATAACATTGTTTTATCAGGTAATTATTTTRAAGAGGCTCTGTAGGTACTGTCTGTTGCCATAGTTTCAACAGTTATTCTATTCATCATTGCTATGGTTATGCAGTAGTCATGGTGATGTCAATCATTCTTAGATTGCTCAGACTATATTTTTTCATTGACTTATGTTTTGTCTAAGTTTTAAGAATTATATTTTTCAACTTAGAATTAAATGAATTTGATAATCAAGTTGATGAACAATACTCAAATTAGAGAATGTTAATATGAGCATACTGTACATTGACACGGGTACTTGTCACGAGAGGTCACATGACCTAGAAATAGAAATAGCACTTTGGCAATGTTTGAGCTCAATAACATCATTAGCCCTGTGAAATATTTATAAGCCACTCCTTTGAAAGAACAAAGGAACATTTTACTGAATGGCTCTTGAAACAAAGGTGCTCATTTCTATTTGTAGTCAGGCTCACATTCTTGCAGGTGCTGCATGATAAAACAGTAAAATGACCTGTATTTGCAATGCACCTCTTGTACAAAACAGTCTTGTTCCAGTCCTGAGCTATTCTTAACTTAGAAATTTCTCCAGGTTTTCGTCCTGTAAGAGACAAGCTCTCAAATATTGTAGAAAATTGTCTTGAATATGTATTTTTTTTTCTGGGTGGCGGAATCATTGTYGAATTTTTACATGCATGCTTTGGTACTTTCAGAAATTGTTCTTTGTGGTTTCTTTTTTTTTCTTAACTTAATGAGGTTTATAGCCTACTTGGCAAACTTCTTTTGCTGTTGGAATCCAAATTCTTGAGTTCAATTCATATTAAATAATGATTTCTATTTCGAATGAAGKTCTATTTGACTGAACTCTTTGGCATCCTATTTGGCTCTTTACTAATGTTGTCTGTTGCTTGTGGATTTTATGTATTGGTTGTATGGAGTGCTGGATTGTGGAATAGTATGAATAATACTTGTAAATTATCTGCAATGTCCAACTCCATATTCCGCAACCTGCAATGAAACAAAATTATGTTTATSAATAGATTAAATCTGTCTTTCAAGAAGGAGTTTCCTGCTAAAGGGTCTATTTTTTGCACTTGTTCCAGAGAAAATAATAATAATATTCGTGATGCAAAACCTTGATTATATACATTATTTTGAGTGTGATCTAAATGTTTCTGGGGAAACAACAAACAAGCTATGCTATTGATGTCATTACGTGACCCTTACCTGGTACCCATGATGGAAAAATGGTACCATCTCATAAGCAGGCGTGACATATGGTGCGACTCTAACTCTCATCCCAGTAGAAGTGTTGCTAGCATAGTAGTTCATWGGGCTACATCCTACTCCATTAGACGGCACTATACAATTATAGTAAGGTGACTGTTGATGTACATACAATGCCGGTGGACTACGAGATGGTGACGGCACCAATGACGAGTCCACTGGTGAGTGTCCATTCATATGTGACGAGTTCGCGTACCCTATAATGCCAGATGTTACAGGGTATGTGCAYGGCGGACTATAAGACAGGTTACTTATTGGTTGCATTTTAGTTTGATTAATTGTGCTGCTTGCAATAACGTTGACAATCTCAGAACTTGAGCAGGGGAATACCTCAATGTATCTTTCACCCATGTGATTTCTGTGTAGATCGTTTGCTGCAGCTTGGGCAGATTCTTGGCAGATGAGCTGAACATAAGCATCTCCTGATGGCCGACCCTGGAAGATAATGTAGAATGGTTTGATTGGTGGAAGGATGACTGACTCTCTATCCTCCAATATGTAATGATATATCATAAGTACCACCCTCCCCTCCCCCAATATGTATATCACATACCAAAAATACCCAGCCTCCCTTCCCATGAGTGCATCATGTCTCACCTGTGTATCAATACCATAGGTACCCACCCTCCCCTCCTAATATGTACATTACATACCGAAAATACCCACCCTCCCTTCCCATGAGTGCATCATATCTTGCCTGTGTATCAATACCATAAGTACCCACCCTCCCCTCCTAATATGTACATTACATACCGAAAATACCCACCCTCCCTTCCCATGAGTGCATCATGTCTCACCTGTGTATCATTACCATAAGTACCCACCCTCCCCTCCCAATATGTATATCACATACCAAAAATACCCACCCTCCCTTCTCATGAGTGCTTCATGTCTCACCTGTGTATTAAATACCATATGAACTCCGCCAGGTGCAACATAAGCTGCATGTTCCTTCATAAAATCAAGAACATCTTGCACACTTGCAGAAAAGGGAAGCCCTCTTAACCTTAAACAGTCTTTAACAGTACTAATCCCATTAGGTGTATATGTCGGTGGGGGTGGGGGTAAAAACACTGATGGATGAAATGGTGGATGTTGGTGCACCGGTGAAGGGAGCATGGTTAATGGCGGTAAACCAGGAATTAAATTGCTTGAAGAGCTCAGGACTTGTTGGACTTCACTTTGCGAGCTGCGAAATAGCTCGACGTAACGAGAACCTAGGACGTCTCTGTGTTTTCTCAAGGCAGCTCTGCCGTGTTCTTCTGTCTCAAACAAGACGAACGCGTCCCCTGTAGCTTTACCATTGCGTCCTTTCACCATTAGTATYCCTGCTTCTCCTCTGTGAACTGGTGCCTCCTCTCCGAAAAATTTTACCTTAAAATGTATTTGAAAATGTAAGTTAAATAGTCAAAGCCCGAAGATAGACCTCTTCGTACTACACGTATAGCTSCGATCGCTTTACTAAGGTTCGGCCATGCCTGCGTATATTACAAATATGATGTAATGATTGATTTGCGAGGTCCGACCATTACTTACTACGTCTGATGGTTTTGTACTGAACGGAAGTCCACGCATGCGTACTATTACGTCTGCTTTTGACGATACAAAATTTGCAGCAATTTGTGTGACATCAATTGGTCCTAAAAACAAATTGGTCGGGTTATCATGTGAAAACCTTCCTAATTACCAAGTAATTTCATTGTTAGAAAAAAATTTTCTCGCCATTTTAAAGTTGTGCTCTCGTTRATTTTTCCCGCCTTTTTTCGCGGGCGTTACGCGCACGTGTTTTCCCTGCCTTTTTCAAGAAAACACGTGTGTTCTTGCCCATCTCAATATGCTGTGCACTTATAGTTTCTCAACGTGTTTTTTTTAATTTACTTTCTTTCTCAACCTTAAATTCCGCCCTACAGCCCCACAGCATTCCTGTTTGCCTTGGGTTAGGTGTTAGTTAAGTGCTTTTAATTTCTAAACAACAAGACTCRATATATTCTTAGGTTCTATGGGTGTCGTGTCGCCTCTTGCGTTAGTCCTTGAGAGGATGTTCACACAAGTCGAAGGAGACTTACCTCGAACTATACGTAAATAGTCTTGTGCTGTMGCTTTATAGACCTTAAGGAAGAAAACAAAAGTGAATACAGGGAGGTTACAGGATTTGTTTGTGACAATTCCAGTACAYAAGAAACACTCGATGTCTGTACAAGAATTTTATTGTCGACAAATTATGATATCGTTAATTTAATTCCTGAATTACTCAATTAGCAATTGAAAGGGTATTAGTTCTTCCGATTGATCGTATTAGTCTTCCTGGCACCACAGTTTCAGTGATATAATAAAGAAAATYAAAATGTTTGATGACAAAAGGACACAAAACTATCTAACAACAGTGCATTTTATGACTCCAAGGAGTCTAGGCGTCGTTAAATGTTGTCACAGTATTGCCATAAATCGGTACTTAGAAGGAACGGAGTRCTGATTGGAGTTATTTCTGGGATTTTTCAAAGCTCTTAGGAAAAAAACCCCTTTGATATTCCGACTGATGTGGTTGTATATTCATCAAGCGGGCTTGTTGGTCGGGGAAAATAGCAAATACCGTACCCACAACTTAATTTCCATTTAATTTGATTAGAAACAACTACAACTACGTCTAAGCAGATGGTCACCTTGAAAAAAAAATAACGAAAATCCCATGTTTTGATTCAAAACAAATCGAAGTGCACTACATGTAGCAAGAGATCATGGTCAACAAAATCACAAGTCACGTGACGGCTATTATCAAAGATYTCGTAGATCCGATTCGCACAATTATCCGTTGCGTCTCTTTTAGCTTGAATTCTAATCCGCCTGAATGTCGTAAACAAACAGAGATGTAGATTGGATTGTAGGCAAATTGTTTGCCAGCGTTGAGTGGTATTGGTTTAGTTGATGCCACTCTCTTGCGCACATCTGATAATTTCACCAGTTTATTTTCCGCGCTRGGACAAACATGACAGCGAAATTGTAAGATATACTTTGAAAATTACAACTGTTTTTGAAAGGTTTTTTTCCCTAAAAGATAAGTCAACATTAAGGAGATGTAGATGAGGCCAACAGSGTTGATCATCATTCCCGATAGCTAGTCATCTCCGGTGTTGAACGTTTGTTGCTTGAAAGTTGATTTAAAACTGACACCACTAATTCAAATCAATTCATTGTTTCGTCCAGCCAGATAACATCAAGAAGAATAGTAGGAAATGAAATCATCCCAGCCAAGTCTCTTTCAATGGAGTGACAAACTTGGCACGAATTAAAGCCGTTTTTGAAACGTCAACGGAAACCCTGAAGGTTGCGCAACCAGTAATGGGGAATACCTTGCGATTTTTATCACCAAAAAACGCATTCATTATTCATGTGAGATAAATCCAAAACTCTTTTCCAAATATAAATTAAGACTACACTTCACGATTCCGATGTTTCGTTTAAAGATATTTTCTCTTAATCCAAATCATTGTTGTATCTCTCTCGAGAAAGCGTCTAGGAGTCTAAGGAAGAGAATGACGATGSCTTACAGTCCGTGATCTAGTAATAAAAACTTATCACTGTTTAGAGGAAATGTGGAAAATATAAATAAACTACGGATCTCATTATACATCGAAAGAAACGTGGATTTCAGAATAAATATTGAAAAGAAATTTGAATTTTAAAAGGCCTCCATTGTTTCATTCTTGTCCAGTCTTGACAAACATCCAAATTTGAATTTTTYACTCAGATAAGATTGTTGTGGTTTCTGGRAAGTATAACGATAGAAAAGGAGAGTTTTTCCCATTCGAGTAGTGTTAGTTCTCTTGTTTTGTATTTTGCTTAGGGAAATTGAGTCGGTTATAAATGTGCGTGTTTTCCCGCGCCGTGCGTGCATTTACGTCAGAAGTGGTGTGTGTGTATACAACAAACTGCGACTTCATACGCAAATAAAGAAACAAACACATCCCCACCTCAATGTATCTTGTTCCTAAGTGCATCTTGTGTCTTTTTAGAGCCAAATCTCTATTCTCAGAGTTCTCAAATCGTATAAACGCCTCACCGTTTCGTCTCCCTTGCATATTTAAGCAAAACGCAATGCCACCTCTGTCGAGAGAACAAACGATCTGATCAATGCAACCATGTGAATTACATACTCAAAGGTCTTGTGACGTGTGAGTGCTCCATACAGGTGTTGTTCCCAGGGCCCACACACATTCCCAGAACCTCAAAATAGCAATTATTTTTCTCCCTTCATAATGGCGTTGTTATGAATTATGCCTCTAATGCTCCACTGAACCGATTCAACATGTGAGTTGAATCACGCGGAATTCTGAATTAACCAACAAAAATTAAACAAAACACGAGTTCTCTTTGTGAGTGCTCCCATCCAACGATGTAATCCGGCTTTTAAGAGATTTCGATTAATTGTCAATTCTATGTCTTGTTTTGATGTGATGTGGGCGGAGTGGGATGGCGTAGGACTTTTCTAAACTCGCGCTCGTTTATATTAACTTATAAGCATTGTTGTGTTGTATTTGATTATTTAAAGTATTGCAAAGACCACATTTATAATTTACTTGAAGGATTCTTCATTAAATAATACTCCAACTTCTTCTATACTGTGTTTTCGCGCCCTTTTTAGACACGAAAATAGTTTTAACTTTCTTAGAGTGACACACAAAAGATGTTTTGAATTTTAGAGTTTAACGATATAATGCAGACACGCTCAAATGTATTACACATACAACCCGTCAGTCGCGATAAGGAATGACTAGATAAAGAGGTTAAACTAGAGCACTTTGAAGTTATTAACTTAAACCTTGAAAATCAAACATTTCTTGTGAAAACAGGAAAATACATATTATACAACTATAAGTGACTGAAATGGTCTCCATGCWTATAACTTGATAAATTGATTGAATTGATTAAGTTTAAGTACTGATTTTAAATTACAACCTAAAATCTACTTTGGATTCATTTGTTCTGGTCTTAGGAAAATAGAAAGTACTGTAGATGTAGCTAGTGAAGTAACCAACGTGAACCTTWCTATAACACGGAAAAGCCGTTTTGCATAATTCTAACACACTMCTATCTCCAAGGAACTATAAAATTAGCATTAAAAAAAATACAGCTGGATTCATTATTCTTTTATGGTTAAATTGAAAACTACAATAAAAAGGAATGATTTACAGTTAAAAGGTTATAGTCAATAAGATTTTTTACCTTGAATCAGTGCTTTCGCGGATGAATGGGTCCTACAGCTTACGTGTCACAAGTCTATCGCTCAAGTCTAACGTTCAACGTCGCCGCATTTAGCTCCGGGTCTTAGACAAACTTTGACAAGATGACATAAAAAATGMAAGCATCTAATTCTATTTGCTGCCAGCTTGTCCAAGCAGAAACGGACTTMTAGAGCTGCTGTTTGAGTGTGTYAGGTCACTGCTTCGCTTAACTCATTAAAACAGCTAGGACAACAAGGGCTTGTGTTACTCGGTCATGTTAATATTCATAATTGTGGGCGTTGCTATGAATAAACTATTAGAGAAGCGGTCGAAAGGTCCAACAGACACTCTTATATACTTCAATAATCACTTGCAACTTATCAACAACACAATAAAAGGATATTGTTAGATTGAAATCAGGGAAAAMTGAATAAGATCCTAAGAAAGACACAACATTTTTAAGTATTTASAGTGTATAGACATTGTGATCAGTACCTATAGAAGGAAAGCTCTTTAATTCTGCATGACCATCAAATGCAATTAGTGTCCAATTCTTTCATCTAAGGCATATAATGTTTGCCATAGCGGGAAAATAATTGAATTGAACGTCTGGAACAATCTACAGCACTACGTAATTCGTAATGTACGTCAGTTGACAAAGGAATACAGCCCATAACACCGTATCCATCGCCACATGTAGTCGAGATTTTTCATTGTAGTGACGTCTGGTGCTCGGGTTCCTAACTTTAAGATGCAATGTCAAGCAGAGTTGAAAACACCCCGGGCAACCCGGGCTGTACGCTTCCGCGCTGAAAATTATTCTGAGCATAAAATGTTAATCCGTTAATCACGCGATTGGCGGGATCTGATCACACAGCACGTGACCTCTCTTTTGGTCTTAAAATTTAGTCGTTTTTTCACACTTCTTTGTACAGAATATTGCTTGACACTTAMAGAAAAGTCTTTGTTTTGAATGGGTGCTTTTCACTAGCAACATTACCACCTCCTAATAAATTTTTGATGACAAAAAAAAAATAACAACATTTTTGAGCGTCTATTTATAATCGTTATATCTCTAATGTTCCGCTATCACTCGAGTTTGTTTCGACATTCAATTATAAATATTTTTACTAACGAATACAAATTGGTCCACGTAGACGTGGATTAATTATGAATATCATTTTTTAAGTGGTGAAAATGTACGTTTTTGTGCTTACAAAATATAAATATTTGCTTTGTAAGAACAAAAGTTGAGGAGGTGGAATTGCCGAATAGATAAAAATGTTGGCTCGAAAATTAACTTTGAATTGAGGTATAGAGCCGAAGATAAAATGATTTACGTTTGATTTTCTYGATAAATTATCATTAGTTCTTTAAAATGGAATTTTCTTTTTCTGAACAGAAAAATGTAAAACTCAACTAATTAATCATTTTATTTATGAATTGAATAACTCTTTTTAGAGTACAAACACCAAAAGTGTGCAAAATACAATTTAAACTACTAAAGATGAACACTTTTGCTGTTATAGTCGCGCTCTCAAGCCCTTTTTTTCAAACCTCATGTACACATGCAGTTTAGTGCAAAATTATACTTCTTATCGTATCATTTGAAGTCAGCACTTGTGACGTTTGGTGTTAAATTACATTAACCTAAAGGGCCTTGTTTCAAATTGTACTGTGCAGAGCTAATATACATTTCCTTTGAAAACAATGGTCCTCTTGGACCAAGTGGTTTGTGTAACAAGTGCAAGACAAAATCGCTTAGAAATTGTCACATTCTCCTGACTGTGTTAATTGGACGTTAAAAAAGTGTTTTATCGCAGAATTTCAACAGCTGCAGAACTGATAATGTTATTGATATGTTTTTAAACCTCTTGARCGAGGAGTTCAAGTGTATGACTTGTTTCATGGCCGATTGGCTTGAAAGATGTGTTGTTGGTTGACATTATCGAGTGTGTCGCATTAGAAAGGAAAACAAGWAGATAATAAATTGAAACATGCTTGAATGAATAATCGAATGAACGTTAGAACGAGTGGATTAATAAACAGATACAGATGAACTTTAACTAATTGAAACATGGTTCGAAAAAAAAAACATCTAATCAAAGAATGGAGGGATGTATAATAGGGTAAAATTAGCAAGAGAAACCAGATAAAAACTAAGTAATTGAAACGAGTTGGAAAAGGAGAATTAAGGAATACAGGTATATGGAAAAAGAGGAGTGAATGAATTGAGTGGGAATAAATAGAATGATGAAAAAATGCACATGTCAATGTATGGATATAAATGCATGAATTGAACAAAAAAAAAACAACACACAATACATTAGAATGCCGAGGATGATTGTAATCAAGAAGSCGGCCATGTTGGCGACAAAGAAATTTCGAAAAAATAAGTCGAATGTCAGAATGGAAAAGAGACAAAAACTAAACTTGTAGCATCGTTGGTCCCAAGCCGTGTACTTCACGCAACATTCCAGTGGCATGCAACTTGCAATAAAAGTTTTTGACGCGWGAATTGACAGTACACTGACTGGGAATGAATCGAGAGATATGATGCTGCTGATGTTGTTGTTGTTGTTATTTGGCAATTGCTTTTTTGGATGAACTCACTAAACAGAATGTTTCTAAAAGCGTTAAAAGCTTTTCAAACGAAAGTYTGTTTAATTATGACAGATTATAAATAATGTTATTTACGTTAAAAATAAAAATAWAGAAAAGACAAACATACCGACGGAMAAAAACAAGAACTTTTGTTATGTGCAGGTGTATAGAACGTACGAAAACAGCGGCATTACGAACAAAACAAGTCTAAAACAATAGAATAAAAAGAGCGATAGAAAAATACTATGGTTCCTGTAGGATAACATGGTTCCTGTAACAATCAACAAACATGAAAAGAAGCAACAAAGCCACCACAGGAAGCCCACATTTCCTGTGTTTAAGTGCTTTAGTTARAGTGTTTCAAATTGTCAAACGTTTATTAATTTTGATTTTTACATAACGATACTTTTAGATGGAAGTTTTGTTTTTCACAATTTTCTGCAAAATGGTTAACGTGACGTAATTATATATCTTGATTTAAAAAAAACTTCGATTTTATTAATATGCCATTTGTTCAAACGATTAACTAGCTATTTTAGGAAAGATTAAGATATATATATACAAATACTCTAGCCTTCAGACCTTCTGACGTCAGTATGGGTCTTTGGTGCACCAAATGCACAGCAGGCTTGCTATTTGTGGCGGGCAGTAGAAGGCCTTGTCGTCGATTCTCGAATGAATAGAATTTTTTACTTTACMGTTTTTTTGTCTGCAGCTGTTGTAATCTTCTCGCGCCCTGTGTGTCACTCTTAAATGAATTACTTGTAGCTCATGCATTTATAACTCGATTACAGCGTTTGTAAAGAAGGTATCGTTTGAACGTCATACATTCATACATCGTTTGATAATAAAAGTCGAAACTATGTGATTTTGATTAGTGATATGTAAAATGTTCAGAAATAGAGGATATTACATGGGCACGCGGAGATACGGATTTTATCTTCGAKTGTTGAAAAGATCTCTCACGACTGAGTGTAGCGAACAAGTGAGAGATTTTCAAGAAGAGAAGATRAAATTCGTATCTCCAAGCGACCATGTAATATTCTGTTTACTTTTTTCTTACYATATAGAGAAACCTAGAATGCAGTTATTTTCACTAGTGAAAATAACAACTTTATGTAATTGGAGAAATATCGGTATTATAAGATAAAAGGACTTTCACGATGATTTCGTCTTGAGAATATTTTGAATACGTATGCCACGGATATATTTTCTTTCTGGTATAATCACGTTCATATCCGTTTTTTAGTGTCGGTTATTTACCCATTTACCCATATCCGTACCCAGGTAGCAAAGTGGTACGGACCGAGGTTATAACTTTCGATTTTTTTTGCAATCTATCTTGTTGATCAAAGAAAATCAAATTGTTCATTGAACATCATGGAAACTAAGGCAGTTTTGACTGTAGAGAACGTTTGACTATACACTTTCTTATTGTAATAAGTAAATAGCCCAACTATCTTAGTATCCACTGTTGTGAGCCATTTTACATTGATTCAGTTTTTGCTTACTTGATAATATTTAAACCACGAAAGAAGTTTGCTACGTCCTGGTCTGACGCTTGCCATGGTAGACCTCTGGCACGTAACACTGTCTCGTCCAGTACRGGACCAATACTAAAAACAAACAGTGGACAAACATTAGCCCGTCATATAATGGAGAGGGGAGGTCGTGCGTCTAGTGAAATAATTTTCTTTTCTTTCATTCTTTTTTTTTACTTGAATTTTTCTTGAATTATTGCCATTATATGTAATGATAAACATATCTTTTAGTAGYTTTCGTTTCATCTTGCAACGGTAAACGTAAGCCATGCATTTGATTGTAATTTATGCAATACAGCGACGCCATTTTGAACMGCAAAGCATGAYGGGAATTGYAGAAATTAGTCCGMGTATCTCTWCTCCCCARCCYCTCTCCCCASTGAAAAAAGCACATGACATTCATCCATAAATGACTACTTGGCTAACGGAAATGAGGTTCCTGGGACACACGTATCGAATTCTATTTGGAAATTTGAATGAGATTCAGGAAATTGGGATTAGTCCCCTGATCTTCGTACGTGCAAGAGGCTCAAATAACACCAAGTTGCAAATTTTRAATTCATTCTTGTCAGGTGGTCATTAGCAATTTTTGCTTATAACTCTTTAAAAGGCACGTGACAGCCTTGAAAAAAGTTGGAAAACAGCAAGAATTRAAGTGATGGTTCTAAACTCACCTAAAAAATATGACAACATAATACTTCACTTGACTTTCTTTACTGACAAGTTGCCAAATTTAATGAAACTTTACTGTCAATTTATCATAAYGAGGAATCGATAACATGCAAAGTTCAAACGAAATTCGAAGAAATTCGCGACATCCACGAGCTTCTTCGCGACACCCACTAATTGCATTGCGACKTTTACGAGTTAAAATCGTGGGATGACACGTAGATAGGTGATATAGCAATTATTATGATTAACTCACGCGTGGTAAGGTCAAATCTCAGTGGAAACCCACAGAACAAGTTGATGCCGATAAAACAAGAAAAACTCGGGTTTTTTTTCGAATGAAAACAATAAAAAATTTTGCATTTGTAAAAAAAAAAAAAAAAACAATTTCAAACAGAATTAAAAATTACTGAGACATTCGTATGCACCTGTAAGGTTAACGTACAAATTAAGGGAATTATCTTTGGGTAGAAATGTCATGTGATGAAATTGATCTTATATCTTTTACTCTTTTTACTAAACGAGAAATGTTGATAATGAACAAGTTAAGGCAAATATATTTGATATTAATCCAAGAACCAAAACTCCATATGCGCCAAATGACATATTTTTGAGCTCGACAACATTTATTCAGATAAAATAAATATCTAATTCTACAGTAAAAACATTTTTCCGATTATGCATATACGATTGGTTTACTTACCATGGTCCAGCTTCGTATTTCGCGCTTATCTTCTCCGCCTCTCTAAATACGTGACCTGCAGARAACAAGGTGTTTTAAGCTTGAAAATGACTTTTGTTTTTTGTGGCTTATGGAGAGCATTGATGGTTTATGTGGCTCAAACGGGGAACAAATCTTTGCAAGTTGGTCTAACTGTAGCTTAACCTCACRTAAAGTTGGTTGCATGTCATTTTGATCTATATATAGTAGTCMTGTCTGGTTTAAACGAGGATTAATTAGTTCTATAGCCAGTAAAACGACTTTTCTAATTTCTGGATAAGCAAAGTCCCATGACCAAATTATCGGATTAGTTTTTTAGGGGGTGATTTCTTTGCAGAAGAGAAGGCATTTATGTTTCTGCGGTCGAACCTCGTATATCCGGACACAGATAAAATGTTGTAAGGGGTCGGTTTACGAGGGACCAAAGGTGAATCCATCCCTTTTTTTTGCAGTCACTGATGGACAAAAACTGACAGTTAATTCGTTATAATAATGGTGACCGCTAATAAAACAAAATTCAGGCCGTCCATAACCCCCAAAACTGATGGCCCAAGCGGTGCAATGGTCATAAAACATTAATCTTAAGATAGCTTAGAAAAAAAGATAGATTAAAAAYAGTCACTTATTAATTTCATATTATTTGTTTAGACTCCCTGATAGAACTTTTTAATATAGCTGAGGTTGTCTAGTTGAAAACTAAAGGTTTTTCTATGTTCAAAATATCCACAAAAGAGTGTCTCCTTTCTCAGGAAAGACGGATTGAACAGGTGTCAGTCTACCTCTTATCATCAAACTAAAATCCCTAGCCGCGTTGTCTTTTTAACAAAAATCTACGAGTACCGAGACGCTATCATGGGCTATGCAGTGGTTATTGCAGTGGTCGGTTGACCTGGGACTAYGTGTTTGCTGTTACAGGCGTTTGATGTCTTTGAGGTGGTCAGTTTTGTTTTGACAAGAGTCCATGCAGTGTTGTGGTGTTGTTAATAACGTTTAAACAAAAACATTAGATAGGCATCATGGATAAAGTTGTCCTATGCGGTCGGTGTTCGATCAAGGTGGTCGGCTAAGGTGGTCGAATTTATTGGCTTGAGGTTTAGGTGCAGCTCTAATGGTAGAGGACAGAGGTAGTGTGGTTTGGTGGCTGTCAASYTAATAACAAGGGAGGGGGCTTYATTTCGTTGGCTATTGGATCATGAACTTTTGTAGGGTAGATAATGTGGTTTGCTGGCTATCAAATCGCGGCGRCWGGTAGGGCTGTAGAAGGGGGTTACGGTTTGSTGGCAAGCAAATCTTTGACATGGGAGAAAATGGTGTGGTTTGCGTGATAAGAAGAAATGGTAGCCCTCAAAGCTCTATAACCCGATCTCCCAACTCTTCAATTCCCCGGTGGCCCTCCAACTGTTCAATAACTCGATCTCCTAACTCTTTAATTTCCCGGTGGCCCTCCAACTGTTCAATTCCCCGGTGGCCCTCCAACTGTTAAAATCCCCGGTAGCCCTCCAACTGTTGAATTYCCCCATACATTATTTCACAACAACCCTTACTGAGTTAATCGCAGTTATCATGGGATATATTTCCGGAAACGGACACTCTCATTGGTTAGCCATCATGTTTGTTTAAATGATGAACCGAGCCGACTAAAATACGCTCAGGCACAATTTGTAATGCAAAAATGACAGAAGCATTTCATTAATTTTTGATGAAACTGTCATAAAAAAGTCTGCTTTTATTATTAATATTATTAGAAATTATTAACATAATTTTTATGTCTTCAAATGGCCTTAATGCACTAAACCCGTAAAAATCGTGATAGCCTTATATATGGACACAAAAGACTACTTAATAGGTTTTATGGACGTAATGACTGAAAAAGAGACCTCGCGACCTTGGCTTAGCGATGTTTATTGCTTTTGATGTGGTATTGTTTGTGAAAACACAACGGCGTAAGCCTTGACGTATTCTTGGCCTCAAGCAAGCTATGTCTAGACCAAGTCATTCTACTTAACCCCATTGTACCTCACCACTGACTCAATTACTGACAGATGCTGACAGTACTACGTAAGATGAAGTTTCGAGACGGGTTWGCACGTCAAAAAGATATTTTTAAGCCAGTTTTACAGAAGKTTTTATGCGATATTTAGTCGCCATTTTGAAATTTTGTGATGACATCCGCTTTTAAGAAGGTAGCGATAAGTCGAGATATCTCCGAAAAAATTAGGCGTTAGCCGTGAATTTGTTAAAAAATTAACCATTGATCGTTAATTGATGTTAAGTTGGAGAAAAAAGCTAATATTTTTAACCGTTAACTGTTAAAGGCCTTATTAAAGCTATMTTTCAATTACGACTCTAAAATATGGAGGAAATGCGGCAGAATGAATCAAGCCGACCAAACCTTAGTCAAAGCCGACTGTTTTGTTAATGGACAGCAATGTTTGTAGATTGATAGCATAGCGGAATAAAACATGCAATTCTCGAGAAGTTTGAACACATTATGACTAGTGCCTCTAACCGCCATAGTGAGTTAAAACTAAACTTCTGGTCGTTTATTATTTAGCGGTATTTCATTATAATTTGATTGTCATCGTTAATCATCTCTTTATACGTCTATCACTCGCCACTGCATCATATTCTATTGAAGTTTTTCCAAATATAAATTTCAATTTTTCTAATGCAGTTAACATATTTTAGCAGTTGTTTTTGAATTAGGGACATCAAAAAAAGATCRTGAAATGTCACTTGTTTTTACCATTATGCATTGCATTATAAGTGTGAAGTCAAGAAACCCGTGAAATAGAATATGAAACAAAACTTGACTATTAAAGTGTGATAGTCAAATAGACTCAAAAGAAAACAATGCAATTAGAGCGTACTAAGATGTATTAGTGTAATATCKTTTTCACGGGTTTCTTTACTTCACTTTAAGCCCGTGAAACAAAGCCTGACTATTAAAGTGTGTGGTAGTCAAATATAGCTAAGGTGTATTTTAGAATTCACTCTAATGCCGCAAAGTGTTCCACACATTTACAATACTTGCATTGCACTGCTAACATCTTGTCATCAATTATTATTTGATAATCATCTAGTTTGTTGCCGACCAACTTTATCAGGAAGTATCATAATTCGGGGAGGGGAGGGAAGGGGGGGTATACTCACATGCTAAAAAGGCTATAAGATTGCAATTCCAGACATGTATGATAAAACAYATTAATCTTATCAATCTATTCCCACTGTAGCTGAAACTTTAACCCCTTGGTCCTGTTGTCTAAGTTTAAATGCTTTATAAGCGCTTTTCTCGAAATCTTGACGACCTGGTTTTAGCATTTACCGATAATCATCTTTCAGCATATGGAGCCATTTGACATGATATCTCTTTAAACGCTTGCCATGTTGTGATAATTATCTAGGTGGGATGAATTTATTTTCTGGGAGTATGTTAAGGATTCGGGARGAGTAYCAGAACGGCACGCACGACGAATAATAGGGTGTTAAAGTATTTTAAATTACACGAGTATTTTATGAGATGAAAAAATAAATGAACATTGCAAAGAAATAAAAAAAGAGATAAAATCAAATGTAATTATTCAATTTCTTACCTTTTTTGATTAAGAATTGTATCGCATTAGCCATGAGTCTGCAGTAGTCCAGGCCAGCTGGGCTATTATTGTTAGYRTCGAGGTCACAATCTTCRCTGATGTTAAGGAAGAYAACAACATTAAACCTCTCACGACCCTCCCCTCCCCCCAAGAAAAAAAATGCTTGCATCATSTGTGACCACCAAAAACCTCTAGATTTTCACAGCGATCATCACATTGATTCAAGCATTTGTTTTGTCATTTTTGGGGGGGATGGTCAAGTGACAGCAACGATCACGTGACAATGGCTTTGTCMYGTGGCAGAACGATGACCTTTCTTTCCCAATAGTRTGAGAAAACGGTGTAATTTTCACAAATGCTATATTTTTCAAGTACTCGAGATTATCCCTCTTCTACAAGATGATCGGCTTTCCCTGCAGTGTTCACTCGTTTTCTCTCCGGCTTAAAGAAAAGTTTTAGCAATTGTCACAGTGGACTTTATTTTCACGACGCGCGGAAGCTGTGCGAATGTTAGTTATGGTAAAAATCGATCTCTAGATSTTTGTATGTTGCAGGCTTACAATAATTCGTGTTGTGGGTCAATCAACCTTGACATAGTTGCGGTAGAAGTTCGAATGATTTTCCTGTTGTAAMAATAGACATCCRCTGAAGTGCGGTCKCGTTCAAAAATATTKCCAGCTTGCGCGTGGATATGTGGTATATTCAGGTATAAATAAACGACCTTTAAGACACTGACTGGAATACCTCRCATCGATATCCAAATTCATGCTGAATTTCAGCACGCAGACCTATGTTGCARTCTCCTTTGATTGCCACACAAAACCAGCCGTGTATTCTTCGTTTTCAAGTTACGTCACAGCGGCCATCTTGGAGGAACTTTAACAAAGGATTTCTCATTAGYATCTATTGTTTATTCCTCCAACATGGCCGCCRTTTTGACTCAAATGGGWATGATTGAAAACTGAAAAAATTCARTGTAGGTCTGCACTTATTTCTTCATAAGAACTATTTATACTCAATTTTTCAAGGATACAAGATGTGATATCTGACAAACTATTAAATTCTGTTCCATTTTTGGCAATCTTTTTGAATTCTTTACGCAAGTCGTAGAAAGTATAGAAGTTGTACGAGGGTTTGAGTTTTTTCTTTATAGCATCGCAGTGTAGATAGTGTCTAAGCGTTAGCTGTCCGTCTGTAACCACACACCATTTCTCTCCTTGATTCGCGAGCCTCTCCTCAAGGAAATCCTCAAACTGAAAAAAAGAAAGTATGGTTACTTTTCTGGAATATAAATAATTCCCATCCCCTGGAACCGTGATGCTATTGAGCGGAGGAGGGTATACCTCCAGGCCCCTATTCACAGGWCTAGTTCCCGAAGATGCAAAAATTCCATTAAATCAATACATATTAAAAGATTCATAATAAAAATTCATCAAGTAAAAAACATACAGTACCACACACGAAAATTTACATAAAATATCAACACTGAATACAATATTGAAAGAGGAAGTTGAGGCCTAACTTGACCATATATATGTCTGGAAGCCATTTAAATGCTTGGCGCCCGAACTTACGCATCCTGGTGCCATTAAATTGGCTTCCCTTCGAATCGTTCAAAAATTCCTCATTTTTTAATTAAAGATGTGTTCTACGTAGAAATGTTATTGAATTAGGACCCAGGAACACTTGGAAATTAATATCTTGACAGACAAGAAGTAAGACTAAAAAAAGACATTTTAAGAAAGTGGACACGAAAGGATAAAAAGTGAATAAAAAATGAAACAAAAATTGGAATTGAAGTATCAAGTCAGAATAACTTGAATAATAACAAAAAAATAATCAATTTAAACTTTTCACCTTTCGCAAACTCTAAACGCATAAATCAGTMCACACTAATAAGCATGCGCTGTCAAAACAACTTTTTCCTGATTTACCGAAGCGACAATAAAAAGCCACAAAAGTGTCAGWTTGGCACGTGGTTCGTKCGCTTTTTGACTCATAATGCTGYTCAAAATAATTTCATAAAAGGAAATTTAGACGTTGATACTAATTGTGTTGACTGAGGCTCTTGGAAGAATTGAATTTGATATGTTCCGGACTTGAAAATGTATCCGCTGAAATGTGAATTACACCAAGGTGCAATATCAAGCTGTCTATCAAATGTGAGTTGCTAAGCAACCGTCACGTCCATAGTGAAGTAGTAATGATGGCAATGATATTGAAAATATTTTGGATTTTATGATGATGATGATGATTCTACAAAGTTGACATTGCTGATGCTCTGATACATTGTATTGCTAAATCGTTTCATGATAACAATTGCAAAATATACTATAAAATGTTATGATACAACGATACTCTATCAATATATTATTATTTATGATTATTTATTAGTAAAGTGCAATTTTCAAATAAGGTTTACTCAGACCACTAAAGATGACTTTTAAAATAACGAAGCTAATAACTTTAATAATATGCTAATATAGAAGTCATGAAACAGATTGATTTGTTTCTATACATATTCAATTCTCCACGTTTATAATATTGCAAAATATAAGATAAAAATAGCAGCAATCATTAGTACAAATTGTATTATATTAAGAAACGTGATGTTTTCAAAGACGTGGCTATACATAGTGATAACCTATCATCTTCTAGAAATCAAGCCAAGTATTGGTATTATTGATGTTTTAAATATCGGTACTTTTGATAAATGCCCTGCAGCCGAACAAGCGATATAATCTACTTTAATAATATAACTACAACAATAACATGCTATATTAAACTTCATGAAAAACGAATTAAAAATATACTAGATTTTTCTATCATTATTTTGTGTCTTGTTTGAAGGTGGTAATTATTTTCGTTGTAGTTCTCACTAAGGGTGGATTAGATCAATATTTACTCGCCAGTAACGAGTTGCAAGGCACTCATGGTTACTTTGGGGCTTCTTTCTTGGCCAATTATTTTTTGAGGAGAAACTTTAACTAAGTCAATATTGATTACTCAAGGTTTGAATCTCGTCTCTGATATCTTCGTTTCATTTTAAATTAGTACTTTTTCGAAATGTTTATCAGTTTATTTTGAGGCAATTTGACCTTAACTCAAGAAATCATTAAAGAGAATATGAATTACGATCAGAGGTCGATATTTGCATTTTGTTTTTGTAGTTGTCTTAGTAAAATAATAACATTATTATTTCAAATATTATGATTGATASAGAGGATGAATAACTACTGACAAAAGTCGTGGAACATTGTCTTTCTATTTTTATAAATACATGATTCCCATTTTTCATTTTTTTTTTTCTTTTTATTTTCATCATTTCTGGGTGTCACATTTCAGCTTTTCAAAATTKAATTTCAAGTTTTTGCTTCTATCCATTCGGAATGTTTCCCTTGATTTCTAGCTTAGAGTGGGTTTGGTACATTTAGTTCAATATACAATCAAGCCTTTCATTTTTTTAATGTGGCAGTGCCATTAATGGCGTACATTTGTTTGATTCTTGCATAAACACGGCGTCTTTGAACCCTTCTAACGCGGCACGGTCGTAAAATACAACCAGGTGAGATAGATTTTGATATAACGCTGTCCTCAACAGGAGTGTACGCACATGGAGCATTGAAAAGCATTTTAATTAAGCATATTTCATGAGGATATCATACACTTTTTCAACAAAAAGAAAGAATGTTTTAGCAAACCCATAATTCCCTGCAGTCACGCTGCGTGTGATCAGAGACGACACAGTTTTTGAAAGCGCTGTACTATGACAACCTAATAGACGTTGTTAACATTCAGATATAACTGCCTTCAACCTCATTATTTTGATMTATCCATCGATAACAGAGCGTGTCATATACTAAGACGTTGTTATGGCAACCTYGAAAGTCAAAAAAGAATATCTGATCTTGTCAATTACACACTCTAACTGTTAATCTATCTTAGATGAAAGTTAAGTTGGAGCACCAACTCTAATATAACGAACAATTAAAGCGCTGAATTCACATCAAAATGCTTATTGAAATCCAATCAAAGTCGAAGAACAACAATATCGCTCAAAGGAAACACAAATGAGATCAAASAAACGTAGTTTACACTCTCAGAATCGCTGTTGGCAGTTTRCGATTGCCGTCGATAAMGCGCGTTTCAAAGTTACTTTCAATGACGAAAATCTTGAGGAAAATCGTTCTAGTTATAACGCTAGATATCCGRAAGGTGCTTGTTTCTACATGATTAGTCGGATGTTTGGCGGGAAAAAAAATTTCTTTAGGAATCTTCTTTTTTATGAAAGTATTTTGTATATATGTATAATATCTCTACCTTTTCCTACTGCGAAKGATAATCTAAATAAAGTAGGGGTCTAATGGCTTGGTTTGGAGTGCACTTATGATTTCTGTCAAAGATATTACRAGTGGCCAGGAACACTGAAGTGAATTTGCAACTTTTCAATCTGAAATGTTATTGAAGGACAACGTTTGAAGATYAATAAAAAAGGAAGTCCTAGTTTGTTTGTGTGGCATAAAAAAAGAGATACCGACGCCTTGGACTGACAACTTTTCTCGAAAATTAAAAAATACGATGTATTTTTAGATGACAGTATATTAAAGTCGTAAAGTGGTTTACGATCTGTTACTTCGTGGCTTTTCTCAAGATGTTTCAGTTTATGGGGAAACGAGTGTCGTATTTGTGTAGCATAGCATAGTTTGGCAGACAGGATGATTTGTATTTTCATTAGTGCTTTTAAACAAAAATGATAAATGGCCCATTGTGAGAGGTTCTAAGTAAATARATCCTTTKCTCACATCAAAACAAAATCACCAAAATAACATGTTTGCATTCGAAGAGATTTAATTCTAATCGAAAGAAATTTTTTTCTGGAGATTGTTAGGTGACAACTGTTACTGGGATAACAGTTTTCGGAGATGGATTCTCTAGTAAAGGAAATGATTTTCATCTGAAAAGCGTCTGTAATAGATATGTAAACAAACTAGGAACAACAATGTTCAATGTAATTGCAAGTCGATTTTCGTTGAAGTCATTGGTTTCGCTCAACAATGGAAGTAACAAAAAAAAGTTTTCAAACTGAACGAAAACAAAAGTTGATAATATAACCTCAATAACCAAAAATATCTAAACATTRTAAAGACAACGAAAATGTCGCAAGAAGTGGCTGCCACTTGATTGGCTTTAATTTTCACTTGTCTGAGCTTCTCGGCATTTAAATGGCTTCCTTTAATAAGACTCGTCGTTCGAGAGTAATTTTTTTAAGTTAATAATAATAAGATTAATWGAGTTTGTCTTGCGTTGTTGCTGGAGAATGTTGTACACATGTTTGTATCTTATTTTAGTCTTTAAAGTTCCGTTGTCATGCTGTGTTTTCGGTTACATTCATTTGAAAACACAGTGTGTCTAACAATSTATTCAGCTGTTCCAACATCGTGCGACAAAAATTGCTAAACTAAAAGGACTACGACAAACAAAACAATAAAGATCAACCTCAAGCCTTGACGAACTTAAAACCTGAGCTGATACACAGCCACAAAACAGATATGCAGAAAGAAGGAACAGCCGAGCCACTCAACTTATCATAAATACTTAATGYCGAATCTAAGATTTTTCTTAAAACGCAAAGCATATTTTTCTACGCTTTTTCACTGGCTCGTTTACTTGTTGTGTGCTAAAGATTTCTAAAGTGACGCATTTTCAGTGAGATATCTCGTTTTCCGCTTTTAAAAATTAATTTTGTAATGGGTATACGAATACGCCTTCATCTTTTGTGTTTCGGCTGGTGTATTCAAATAGCCAAAAGACAGACCAGTAATTTCGCAAGGATTTTATCTAACCGGCCAGCCTTGTTATATAATTATCTCGCCTATGGAGCTCTCTCCCTTTTTAATTGTTTTTTAATTTTCGAGAAATTTCTAGGATTGCTTGACGTTGTTTTGAATAAAAATACTATTAAAATTGCAACAAGAATAACAAAAAAAAACATACCAGTTGATTAACAAATTTACTCACGAAATATAGGTTTTTTATATTGAGGATAATTCATATGGTTTCKAACAAAAAAGACGATGTTTTGTAACTGTTGTGTATGCAAGGTGAATGAAAATAGTTGCTTAGAAATGCAAAGATATACGTGTTATCGCTCACAAAGAACMCACACTTTTATTAACTTTCGTGTTTGTAGAAATCASAAWAATAATAATAATAATAACAATATCACTGTAATTTTAGGACACGTGTGACAAGCCTGAGAGGTCGACTCAAAATTTTGCGGTTCACCGTTTTTACCATCAATTCCACGACGAAGTCTGAGAATTCTTATAATATAGAGTCGTAAATGAAGTAAGAATTCGCGACCAAAGATCAAACAATACACAAATAATAGAATACAAAGATTTTCTTAATTTTTCCCGCGAAATATGACAAGTTGATTTTCCGATTTTGACAAGAAAATCGTTAAAAATATCGAGYGTAAAGCTACCGATTTGACGATCTCACATCGGCGTAGTATTTACACCATCAATAATGAATCAAATCAAAAGGCAATTTCAAAACAACGTAAAGCGTGGTCGAGGAAGATTACATGGAGAAGTCCTCGTTTTTTTTCACGAATCGATTGGCGAAGAAAAACGTACCGCACTATAATAAATAGTATATATCTAAAGGATCGATTCTGTCAACTCTAATTGCTTATAAGAAATCATCATTATAGAAGAATAATGCCAAAACAACTAGGACGGCGATGAAAATCATTGTATATTTTCGATAGTGCTTGAAAGGTATCTGCCAATCAATCAACATATGACAGCCCGAAGCACTTCAGGGGTTTTCCGAAATGTACACAAATCCAAGTTTGCCGTTTTTAGCATCGATCGAGGACGGGATAAATTTATCAATCGAAAACCAATTTGAACCTTGTGCCTTAACAAGTRAACTATACATATTGTTGGGCTTTTGTCAAGGCGAAACTACGTTAATTCAACAGACACGAAAACCTTTTGTATTCCCGAGTAAATAAAATATTCGATTCAAAGATTAAAACAAAAAAACAAAAAAATCGCTCTAATTTCACGCGTACAGAGATCGCACTGAAAATCTAATTTCATTTCAACTCGTCGTATTYTTAATTCCAAGACGGCGTCTTTAGCCTAGATTTCCTGCTAATTAAACYCACAACAGAATCTTATTATTATAGACCAAGATTCCACAGTCGTACGAAATGCGTGAGTTTCGGGGCATAACAAGACGAATAACTCGCATTGAGCCGAGATGTGCCATAACGTAGAGCTCTCCACGACATAGTATAACAGTAGACCCCTGCGGATGGTCACAGAGGAGTATCAAGTCACGGCTTTAAAAATTTTAAGTACATTTTCAGAATGTGAATATTCGACTTGAAGTTTTCATTTCCCTAGAAACGACAAGGCTGTTAAAATCGCTTGATCGCGAACGAAGAGCCGGATTCTATTGGTCAACCATCACCATCATTAACACTTTCAAAGAGACATTAATATTGAATATAGTCATAATTTTGGAAATTATATTCCTGAACAGAGATTTTACTTGGTCACGGTTTAATATTTTGTCAGAGAAATTCTCCTTAAGACAAGGAAATCCCCTCAGTTACGAATATGTCGTTGAAGAGTCGATTMAAGGGACATCGAAGKCCTGAGCTATCTTTCTTCTAAATTATCAAATCGCTGTACATTCACTTTGGCAACAAAATTACAGTTTACACAAGCCTTTATGATATAATTTAGTCATCGGGAAATTAGTTCACCAAATTGTACTCATCTGACAATGGTCTATTGGTTTTGGTATATCGAAATGTCCGATGTTTATAAATTTCAAACACTGCTTTAAAAACTTTGCTGTAAATATTTTATGGTTAAAGAGGCATTTTCTTTCAAATTTCTACCTCAAAAGATCAACAATACACACATTCCCGCGTCTATCGCGAAGAGTACGATCTTTAACGCGCGCGCCGAATTATAATATGGTCGTTTCCCCCTACATCCACTAGAAAGTAATTCCATTCTTGTCAGAGCACTAATCCTCGAGATTTGACCGTAGAGGAAATAATATAATAAGACTGCTCTCCGATAGGCCGCGCGTGATATCAAATTATGTTCTAAAAATATTTCTCCGCTTCAAGTTGCCATCATCTTCAAGCTAAAATAAATACAATCTCCGAGTTTAGCTATCAACACTTTTGCTACAGCATGGGGAAACTCGGTAGTTTTCCCTGTAAAGCGCTCATAGTTTTATACACCGATTTACCTGTTGTARAGCTTGTTGTAGATGTTCAGCTTCAGTAGGTTCACTGGTGGCTGTACTGTCCAAAATATTCTCATCAGACGGCCACACTCGGCTGTGGTGGACGCTTTCAAGCTAAAAATCGGCATAGATTGAAAACATATAGAGCGTGTAAGTACCGAGCGCCTCCAACAATGCCTACTACCGTCTCACCTCGCAACTATGTCAACAACTGGACCCTCAAAAATTATTTCAACTCATAACAAAACTTTCCTGGGTTAAATGTWAATTTTCTAGGGCCAATTTATCGTATTATACTTATACAGACCTTGGAGGATTTCGAATTGACCAATACCCAWGACAAACCGACTATRTTTTCGTCTTCGCTATCAGGCTCTCTTTCATCTACGGGTTCAGTAGTACAGTGAAGACATACGAAGTTATCAAGCGAACCCATACTTCGGCTCTTATACAGAGAGGCGAATCAATGCAATGTTGTTCTGATGTGTGRGATCTGAAGACCAGCCGGACTTTACTTGTCACATGAGAGACCGGTTCAGCTCGACCTGTGATTGGCTAATCACAATAGCGGGGGTTGTACCTACGCCACGTGGCTAGAACCAATTACCACGGTTGGCTAGCCGTTCGTTGCTCCTCTACTCTATTTCGTTCAACTTTCCACTCGTAGCAGGGCAACCGTTTGGCTCATCGTGTAATTCATGGTATTTTCGATGCATTAAAAGAAGTACACAAAAGCGAGATTAAGRAACAAACTCCGGCTTGAAGCGTTTAAATTTTAATTCTACGTGTTTAGCGATGATGTGATGATCACACTGACAGTTTTAGAGAGAATTCTRTCGAATGAGATCACATCAYCGTCACATCAAGGCCAAATGTTACCATTTTAACTGGTTTTTCGCCAAGAGAAAAACTACATCGTATGAATGTTTATATTTCAAATGCCTATAGCTACTTCCGCTCCTGATCTAACAACAATTATCTGTATTGAACATCTTAAAATAGATCGGGATGTTTTACTATCGATCCACTGACAGCCTATGCAGAGARAAGTGTTCACCAGTTCGCCCTTACATTAGGCTTGGAATCYGAACTTTTTTCGCCTTTGAGAGTAAACTTCCGTTCACGATGCGAATACAAAAGCTACCTTTGACAGATTGAAGGCTAAATACAAACTCACGTAGGGAATGATTCTTGTTTGGAAATACCAAGGAATGATTTCCTTAAAATATGCCAGAAATCCCCTCTGAAATCCATAGATTATAAGCCCGATCGTTCTAAAAACCACCCAGTATTTCACCAAGATTTTGTAATTTTTTTAACTAGACTTGTCTTTTTGGTTTATCTAGTACGTGGGGTACAATCGATTTATACCTAGTCGACCTTTCTCTCTTTTGAAAGCCACCCGTCTTTGTAAGGGGTCAAAAATTCACTTGCCACTACTCGTAAACAATTTTTTTTTTACCGGGAAGTATATTTTAATCATAAATTCAAGCTTTTCTATGTTGCAATTGYAATAATATTGAGCGGAATACAATGGAAATAATAAAATTCCCTTACACTCATCTTGTAGTGCGTGGTAATAGCACATTCAAAGAAGGRCAGCCCTAATGAAATCAATGCAGTTTCAAAAACGCGATATTCTAAGAGTGAATTCTATCTCTGATAATGAATAATATTCTCTATTTAGTTGACTGTCAGGCCTCATAAATCTTGAACCATCATTGTGATTTTCAGAGTACGAAATGCCTTGATTATGATAAGTTAAATTTCGAAAGGTATTCAATCTTACGGGCTGTCATCGAGGGAAACATATTTTCTCTATTTCACACATACATAGAGGACGTACGGCCAATATTGRGCTTCTYTTTGTATTTACTTTAAGCTCTGATTTCAATTCAACGCCCCCGACTATGCGTCTCATTATTCCTCGATGTTATTCAATTTTCAATTTAGGGGAATATTATTTATTTTTCTTTGCCCCTCTCAATTACTATTATTCGAGTAAAAATAATATTCTAAACTTGAAATTAATCGGTCTCTGAATAAAACACTAACCAATACCGTGTGTTGGTGAGTTTCCACCTAGCGATCGGTTTTGCGATAGCCCTACTCTCAAACTGTAAATGTACTTTTTAATTTATAATTGAAGAGCAGTAGAGTATTCTAGTTTCGTTTTTGGGGGAGTGTTCATCGATTAGTATATGGTCCTACAATTTTAGTTCTGTTATTCGAGAGCCGTTTTACACGCATGAACTGACCACAAAAACACTGAGAAAAAAAACGCGTTCAATTGAACACAACTAGCGCCAGAACAAATCACATCTTTTCTTTACAGTTTTCAAATACAACGATCCAAATGATAAAAATAATCTGTGCAATTTCAGTATTTTTTAAACATACGCGGAAGCGTAAAATAATTTTCTCTGTTTTCTGGTAATTTCCTTGTTTTAAATATTCAAGAAAATTGCTCGTAAACCTGGTATCAGTGATCTAAATTAAACTTCTAGAGGCCGATAAGCTGCTATGATATACAGTCTTCAAAATACTTCTGGACTTGTAACTTTTTGAAAGCCTAGAAAAAACATTCACATCCAATATAAATGTTTTTATCCATGCACAAAAAAAACTTCAAAATAACAGCCTATTTGTTGCGCCTCGTTCAAACATTGTTTACTCGTAAGAAACAATGGGAAAACCGAAACATGTAAACATACAATTCGTTGCATTTTTAATATAACAAGGGATATTTTCAACTGTCTGCTGTCGCCACGGAATCCAGAAGASTGTTTGCTAGCTAAACGTCCCCAAAGCCAAAGCTAAATCAACACTACAATTTTCTAATAATGTCTGCAATTTGGTCTTGACGAGAGCGTAAAGTTTTTCTTTCAAAATGGTGTCATACTCGTTTGTTTAAGTGCTTTCTAATTTCGCTGTGGCCTTTATAATACTTTACAAATCTTCAAACTGTTAATTTTTTAGCTGCAAAATGTCCAAATTGAATTCTTATATACACATTGAAACTGACACAAAATGTACATGAAAGTTTTGAATGCTGTCAGATTCAAAGATATAATATTTTTTTTCTCTCGACTAGTATACAAAACCCGTTAGTTTTAACAGGGATTATAGAGTGGTTAGGACAAGACTAAGTACGTCCAAGAAGCAATATTTAATGACTAGGGTTTAATGCCTTCTAACCACAACTTTGTAAAGCTGTTTTTGTCTTCAATTAAACTTGTCCTAACCAAATCAGGAAACTTTAATTGCAAATAAAATCGGCTATAAACAGATTTCAATAATCCAACGTAAATTGTACGGGTTGCTTTTGAATTAGGAAACCAAAATCTTCGGTAAATCTCCCCAAGTAATTGAAGGTAGGAAATCATTCTGGCAAAGAAAGGGTTGCCATGAGAACCGATCTATTTTATTTAGATTGCTATTATTAAGGCTCATTTTTTCGAGCCATGAAGACAATCTCTAGGAGATAACTTMAAGGCGGTATAGCTTAAATGGTATCACAACACAAGTGCTTGAATTGGACGTCCGTGCGTACGCCACAGTCAATTAATTTTACCGAAACAGTGCGTATTTTGCTCTGATGGTCGTAAAATCCAAATGGTTCAGGGTACTTTGATTTATGATCGCCCATCTGAGGCTGTTAACGCTTAAATGACACTCTTTAATACATTGTTAGTCAGAGGCGTGTAACGTTGTACTCTCATGATCAATATATTAACGAAGGCATACAACTAGAAAGCCAACAAAGTGTCTGGWAATTTGTGACATTAGATTGGCTTTTTGACTTATATTGCGGAGAACCTAACAAAATGCATTCAGTCAGAATTTAGGAATGAAGTATACTCCAATAAAGTGACCACSGGATCCCTTGCTTTTAAAACATACAATTTGTTGAATATATATCCCCCAAAAGCCATCATAGTGTGCACACTTGAATGGCTTCCCAGTTAGTGCATTACACGAATAATGCGGCAGAGTCGATGGTCAAAAGTCGTCTTGGCTTCTGATCTATGCATATTCAGYAGAATGCTGAAATCGCGCAAGTGCATACTACATAGCCAAGTATATATGTATAAAGYAAAAGCCAGCCAAGTGCCTTGTGAAAACAGTTGCTCGTAAATGGCTTCCTAATGCGCTACTTAAACTTAGAAAWTGGCTGCAAAATACTCACTAAGTGACTTTTAAAAAGAAGCAATAAAATATTCAGCTAGTGTTWTATACATTGCCAAAACTGGTCGAAAAAGCCAGCAAAGTGTCCGTTAAACGAGTCAGGTTTTCCGTGAGCTTCAATATTGAAGTGGCGAGTTGTGGTTCCAATTCCACTAGAACGACGTGAAGCCACATCGATCCGATGATTAGTTGGTATATAAAACAGCTTTTTCACGGCCATCAAATCGTCCAAGTGTTAAAACCAACAGTTCGAATGAGAAATCTTACTGTGAAATGTATTAGGGCCTGATTTTGTTGGTTGTCATGCCAACTCTGTGGACCCAGTGGTAAGCTCATAATGAGTTGCATCAACAACAATCAAAATGATTTCATCATGTCAACACTCTGGTACGGCTTGTCTTCAATTTTCCTCATATATATTATAACTYTTCATAGATTAAAACATCTTTCTTTTGCAAAATACCCTAATATTTAATCAAATTATTGATCCACGCTTGATTACAAAAAAAGAGTTGGCTTACGAAAATTGTTTACAATAACAAAATGATTGAATTATGAAATAAAGATATTTTTGATTGTGCAGAAGACGATCATAATATTTTAGGAAAAGCCTTTTTAGTATGTAAAACCCTGATAACTTCATTACCACACCAACAATCCAATTTCTTGAATTTCAATTCTTCGTAGTCTGATTAATAATGAGAGAAATAGTTATTCTCCCAGTGAATATACATTCTTTCATGCCGAATTTCATAGGATTTATGTTTATCTGAGTACATCAAAAGGTGGTTTTCCACTAGCCTATRCACAACTTAAACATTCACGATTCAGTATTTCGAATGTCAATTTTATCATCAGTATAACTTTGTCTTCATTGCCGTTCTTTAAATAAGACAAGAAAATGGGACAATGCTAAAGATTGGTGTGAAAATGGAAGAAACTCTACATTTCCACCATAATGAGCGAAATTAGAAGTTAATGAAGGCTAGATTTCGATGAAATTTTCTACTTTAAACGCTGATTTAATATAGCACATAAAAAATAATGACATAAAGGATACTCGTTCACAATATGATCAATGTCTACTTTCAACTATATAGTCTAAAAGTCAGTGTAAAACCTAGAAGAAGAGTMATTTGTATTCTTGTGTATGTGTATATGTATGTAAGTATGTTTCACTTTTGAAGTGTGAACACTTCTAGGCACGGACAGTTGATAGTTTCTACATAATTGATGGGCACTCAGCCGTCTTTCTTGTCTTTTGTTTGAGAAGTTCTTAATTCCACTTCTTTTCAATTGAATATGGAGTTAATTGCAACAAAATTTGTGATATGGATGACAACGAGGAACAGATTTCCATTGAAATGGTTATCAATTATAGATAAAGATTTTC